TTGCCATTCTGAGTACTTTAGCTATCCATGGTTTACAAGAAACCAAATCCTCCTGGTATTTCCTCTGGAATTTTTCTTACAACAGTCCCTTATTGTCCAAATATGCTTGTGACATCAAAGGAAAAAATACATTAACTAGATGTATTAGTTCAAGGAAGAAAAATCCATAAAGGTGATATAAAAAGCTATTACTGTCATTACATACCTATAACCACACACACATGTATGTATATGCATCTATATAGAGGCAGAACCTTCCTCTTATATTTAGGTCTTACAAGAGTGAGAGAAACTGTTACACTATTACTTGAAATTGAAACAGATGAACAGTCTATTAAAACAATCTGATATTTATAAATGCCAGGGAAATCTTCACTTTTTTTTTTTTTTTTTTTTTTTTCAGCAGAACTAGGATTAGGAAAGACTGAACATCATATTCTCTACCTTGTGATTCCTGCTTGAATTTGGAAAGTAATTTCCATCACTAAACAATAAAGTATATTTTAGAAATAACTCTATTTCCTCATGGAAGGAACAGCAGGGGTCATATGATGAATTCATCTGTGACTCTTATTTGAGCTCACAACAGGTAAGGCTAAAATGGTATGACTGAGGATGGGATAAATATTCACTGAAATCTTGAAATTTTCAATTATTTGTTGTAAAGCATATAGAGTAATATCTAAAAAGTATATCAAGCATTATATTTATTATCTATTTCTTTTCACCTATGATGACAGAAGAAGCAATAACAGGAATTTTAAAAGCTTATTAAATGTCATATATCAAAACTGTATTGCCAGAAATACAGTTAAGTTTGCTGAGAGTCTTGGCACGTGGCATTTCAAAAAAATTGTAAGAACGAACATATTAGGAGAGCAATTATAACAGCATGTGTTATTTCTTTCACCAATACCAAAATTGATTAAGTGGTATTCTGAAAAATGAATTGATATATATTTAGGAAAGAGAAGGAATGCTCCTTAAGCACCTCTTATGCCTTTCCCATTTTAAACACATTTATCACTGGCGCAGTACGATTACATTCATTTTTTTCTTACACATGCTCATTCAAGTGATGCTAAGTAGGATGCTAAGTAGGATTCCTTGCTCTGTGTGCAGCTACCTATCAGGTAGCATCCTTTTTTTTGGGGGGTAATATTAGATAAGAAATAAAGTATTATGGTGTCTGAAGTGCAGACAATTTGAAGTGCAAAGAATTTGCAATAATCGATAATGCTCCAAAAACTGTGTTCAGGAGATACACGTGTACAAAGGCAAATGGAATGACAAGCAACACATATATGAGGCAGAGAAGGGGGTACTGCTGCTTTGGTAGTGAGACAACAATAGTATTTTGTGTGTCATCTGCTCCTGCATGCATATATGCCGCCTATTGGTGAAGGGGTACTGTTACATGAAAGCAAGACAACTGACAGTGGGGAGCTCCAGAATCCTTCAAGGGGAAACTAAAGCAAATTCTACAAGCCAACAGAGTAATGCCATCTAAAATGGCAATTTTCTCTTCAAGAAGCTACAGCAATGAAAATGGCAAGCATCAAATAAAAGCATGATACCTGCCATGCCTGTCTGATGTCTGCTGATAAATACGGTACATTTTTAATCTTAAAATACTACAATACTGAAACATTATTTTAGTATTCCAAGCAAAGAATACAAACAAAGCAGACGAAAGTTTTAACAATCATTAACAAAATCAAATCTTCAGTGTTTTGCTATCCAAGTTTGCTATCAGGAGTGTCAAAATAACATCAGAAAGAAGAAGGTGAATGACAGAATATTTCAATCTCAGAAAGATACTTCAGACCATACAATACATTCTCAAAGTCGGAGCAGATTATAAAAGGGAGATGAGCAGAATTTCCTGTATCCATGCAACCATTATTATACTATTCACATGTACTACTCATTGCCACATCATGATTAACAGGCTAGCTCAATAAGGAAAAAGTTGCAATCAGGTTACATGAAGAGGACTGAATATCCCTGCTGATTACAAATGACAGCTGATTTTTTCAGTCAGGTCTGCATTTAGAAAAAGCACTAACTCAGGATGGATAAACCCTCTCCTTGGAAAGAAGAGGGCCAAACTCAGTGCCACTTTCTTCATGTTGCCATATGCTTTCAAATCAGCACACACCTAGTTTAATCAAGAGTTTACCATGACCCATTTTAACCACAAAGACCTGCAACACAACACTGTAAATATTCCTCAAATACACAAAAGCACAGACCTGCATATCAACAACTCCCATGCAGACTGAAAAAATGTCAACCAAGTATTCCACAGCACCGTGAAATGCTGTGCCTTACAGGCACAGAGCCATCTGATACTGGCTTTCTAATTACCTATTTTGTTGGTCTACTACATTAGTAAAAGGAGAGCAAATACAGAAGAGTATGGCTTGAAATTTGTTCTTTATGTATTCGACAGAAGTCTTCAGTATTCCTGTTCTCCTGTTTCCTCAAGATCCACATTAAACTATATTTCCACTTAACCATCATCAAAGTTCCTAAAAAATTATCACTGCTCAAATGTATTAAAATATACTCAATAGATAAATAAAAACCAATTTCAAGCAGATCAGTTGAGAAGTCTTCCTCAATTATGGTCCTGGACGTGTGGGAGGCCTTGATTATCAGCTTCAGTTTTCTTAAGAATTGCTGCTTTTGGTGCACCTTCTGAAAAACAGCTTTTCTGTTCCTTTTTTTCTGTTCCTTGTCTTCAGAGGTATTGTTTTCATTACTCTGTGCCCTCTCTTTATTTGCTCAAAAAGTCCTGTCTTCCACAATACACATTAAGTCTAGAGAGGTCTCCAGAAGTGCTATTTAACCACAGACCATAAAATACTTCTGTCCCTGCCTCCTTCACTCCACAACAAACTTAAAAGCTACTAGAGAAAGGCTTTTGTCATAGCTAAAATATGCCAGAGGAAAAGAGTGGGAGACACTAAAGACAATCCTCAACATCTTCAACTTCTTTCTACTGCAGCAACATTAACTGGATTCAATTTTCAAATATTCTTCAAATATTTTTAGACTATGTCCATGTTACAGCAAACTCCTACCAGTCTTTGCTGTTCTTATCTAAGGGACATTCTTTCTCAACCTCAAATCTGGTGATGGGTTGAACACCAAGAGCAAGGACATGACTTTTTAATTGAGAGTTTTTTTTTTGTTTTTTTTTTTTTTAAACACAGAGAACTTGGCCAAGCTTTGGAATGTATTTTATTTTATTTTTCTGTTCCCTACTGATGCAATTGACCCCACCATAGCCTAACTCAGGCCAGGGAAGTTAGATGTTTTTACTACTCTCTCTCTAAACAAACAGCTTTGAAAGAAGTCCTCACACCCCCATTTTAGTTTCTGAAGTACTATACAAAGCACTGAGCATAAGATACTCTAAGTCAGGTGGAAAAAGAATTCCACTGGCTACTTAATAGAGCCTTTAAAATCAGTGCTCAATCAACTGATGTTTCATAAGCTTACCAATTGATGACATAAAACCTAACAACCAATACTAACAAATATTAAATATACGTAATGCTTTTTGTAGTTATTATGATAACCATATTACGGGAGACATATCAATATTTTAATGTAAGCAACGTTATTTCATCAATGACGTGGAGGGAATTGATGCATAGAGAAAGTACAGTTTAGAGAACTGAACTTTAAGTGAATATACAATAAACAGCTCTTAGGACCTGGCCAATTCCAAGACATCGAACCTGGCAAGCTCTAACTGAGGAATTTATTACAACTTCCATATTCTATAAAGAAGCAAATCACAAGTTTGTGTTTTTTTCCTACTAAAAGTTTGCTATTTCAAAGTAAATTGTTTTCCAATTGCTCATCACTATACATCAATATAATGCTATAAGCCATCACTTTTCATGGTATAATGATGATAATACATTTTAAATACTTTGATTAAGCCACTTGAGTAATGACAAAAAGATCGGACCTTTCTGAACATAAAAATACAATGAATCAACGTCATGTACAGAAATGGCACCAACGTCATTTAATGTGATCACATCAAATACCATTCATCACTCATCTGTAAATCCACTTCATCATATTTAAAGTGAGAACAAACATGAGTATTAACAGTCAGCCTTAAAAGAATGGAGTATTCTAGTAGCAATCTATCACACAACAAATACAAATATCTACAGCTTGGGTGGAAAGTAAGTACAGAATTTCTTTTGGATCAAAATTTAAACTTACCTTTGAATTTATGAAACCAAAAATAGTATTTTCTTGTTGATTTAAATAACATGTACATAACAGAATAGAACTCGATCTTAAGAAGGAGACACCTAAGCGATTGACTTACCTTATGTTTCTTAATTTCTGGTTCGTATTCTCTTGAGAGCAGCCCTTTCAAAATACCACAATTCAGTTCCAACAAAAAAAATGAGATAGTTTTCTGACATGTTTACAAAAGCACTAACTTCTTTTTGACAAAAAAAAAATGCATTCTGAGCTGAACAACAACATTTATAGGACAAAAAAAGTAACTAATTTGAAGGAAAACAGCATTGGCATCCTTCTAGGATGCTAGATTGTTTTCTGGAAAATAAAACTAAGACATACTAATACTGGAAAAATACTTTATATTTAAGAAAAGATTAGTAACTCCATGATGTGGATGCTTTAGAAAGTCTACCCACAAAATGGTCATTAAAATAATTACTTAAGACAATGCGGTAAGAATTTATTCCATGTTATAAAATACTAGAAGAACAACTTCTTAGTGCTGAATCTATTCTTTGCTTAATTAAAAGTAGTCTTTATCTGAATGCTGTCCTATGGGTTTAAGTTTCCTAAAGGCAATGACACCATAATACATTGAAACTATTTTCACTAAATTAATCTGACAAAAATAAAATATGACAGAAAACATGAAAATCATATTTGTAGAGCTGCAAGGGAATGTATATGCCTTGGGAACCACATGAGTGAAAGGATACAAGTTTTGGTATAATGGGATTAATGATTTCAATGCACGGCTTGCATTTATAGCTGTTGCGCGAACCATAATAGGAAGAATTTTTCCATTCACAATAGCACCATCAAAGAGTGGACCAAAAAATGGAACCTGAATAAAAAATTAAGAAATCCAGCATAAAGCAAGATCTAAGCTATAACAATTAGCAATCAACATTAACAATAGAGCACTCAAACATATAATTTTTTTCTCCTCATTGCTAGACAATCAGACCAGTTATTGTGCTCTATGACAGACCTTTTCTCTTGGGGAAATATACAGCCATATAACAGCTTGATATCTTTGGTAATAGATAACATAGTATTTGAAGAAAATTAAGCAACCATTTTAATACTATGTCTCATCAAAGATTATTTTCAACACTTGCTGCCAAAATCCTAAGAACAGTCATGCACATGACGTTTATGAGGTTGAAAGACTAGATGACAATATTGTAGGTAGTAGTAAGCAAGAGCAGCTTCCTTTTTCCTCTTTAACCTGCAAGCCCTTCCATAATACAACTCATTGTACCTAAATAGTACGGAAAATAATATACTTATTAATTAATATGTAAGTAATCCAGCAGTAACAAGACCATGTACTGGGCATCATTTCATTGCTATCATCAGAGAGAGATAGGCGAACCTCTATTTGTTATATCTCTTTTATTAATTTTTGTACTTCTGGAAAGAATTTTAAAATTTTAAATACAGAAATTCATGGCAAGTGACATCAGAAACAGAAATTATGTAGTATAAACATTTAGGACTATTTTTACTCAGTGAGTGTTCACTACCCTAAACCACTATTTTAAGAACAGAGCTAGCACAGACATTTAACTGAAAGTCATTAGAAAGACTGTGTTCGCATTCTTTAGAGTTGAATGATCCCTGCTTTGCTGAATTAATCTCCAAATTCCTGCATGGAGTCCAGGAGAAGGTGAAAACTGGCTTTAAGAAGAAACGGGAATATGTCATAGATGGAGAAAACTGGAGCAGGCTATGATTCAATGCCCACAGTCACATATCAAATTTGACAAAGAAGATTTCAAAGTTTATCTTAGAATTTAAATAATTATGCAGAATATTCCAGCTTTGTTTGCAGTTTACAGTGTTAGCAGATTTACTTGATCAGATCTTTGCAGTTTCAAGTTGCTTGTTTTACCATGCACTGTTCTCACGGATTTCTTTCCTTTCCTCCTACCACTCCACTGCAATTCTCAATGTTAAAGACAGATCACCTTGAAACAATTTATTACACCAAACGCTCCCATTCAAAACAGAATTCAGTTCATTATAAACATATGAAAGAAATACACACAAACCTCCCCACTCTTACCTCAGGCTTTTTCATGATCTGGATACTGAACATATGGTTTTTCATGGGATAGATAACTATAAGAACATCACCAAATTCTGTTGGAATTATTCCTCTTCTATAATCCCGAGTATGCTCTGACCAGACAATGTGTACTTCATCGTTTCCTAAATGTCTTAGCTGAAAAATCAGAGATAAAAGCCTGTCAGTTTAAATATATCTTGTAGCCGTACTGCTATACTAAATGCTCATATTTCAATAGGACAAACCCACTAAAAAGAAATAAAGAATGATGAATAAAGTAAACATATTACACTATAGTTCTCTTACATTTTCAGTCACAGGATTAGTTTGCAGTAGTGGTTTTTGCTACAGATTTTTATACATCAGTGCCAATGACTATTTAACAGATATGTCAATACAGACTACTAAAAGCTAAAATTTTGTTGATATTATCTCAAGAATGCTGAATGACTCAATCTGATTTGCTAAAATGCTTTCAAGATTGCCTTCATTCACAGGCAGTGAACTACTAATTTTTATATGAATTTTATAAGCATGTGGATGAGCATATGCATAAAAGATACCTATCTAAGGAGTCTTTTAACCTCATCATTCTAGCCAAATTCCAAACTGTCCACCACAAACAAAAAGCCTTCTAAAGGAGATGAGATACTGCATTTGGCACATCCCCAGATGAAACAGAAACCTGTAACACCTTTGGAAAACTAACCAGCCACCTGTAAATAAAAAAAGGTCTTGAAAAGTTAATCCAAAAAACTTGCTCAGAATGGCTGAATGGGATACTGAAAATCAGTGCTGCAGCCTCAGCTGTAATCACATAACCTGACTAAAGAACATACTGAATGCTTTGGAATTATCCACACTGAAGCCCCCAAATGCTCTTTCAGGTAAAACATTGCCACCGAGAAAAAAAAAAACACTGTTAACATCATGGAGAGAGGCTTTATGTATGCTGATCAAATACATTCAGATTATTAAAGATTAAGTTTCCTTCCACTAAAGGCCATTTGTGAAAATTCAAGCTGGAATCTCATTTTTTCCTCCTTGTGCATCACCAGATAGAGCTGACAATTTTCCTCACCCACAGTTTTCAGTTTGTTTGCACAGCTTTAGCCAACTCGAGTTTGTCAAACAATTGCATTGATGTTATTCAAAGGACAGCACTGTGAACTGCTGTTAACAGGTAACATGCAGATTCTAATCTGAGCACTTACAAGAAGTTATTTTGTATAAAAAGGCAACAATTTTCTGTATTCATTTTCAAAATACAACTGCACTTTAAATAAAAGCAAAACATATACACAGTCATCAGAGAAATTTCATTGCAAGTATCTGCTTGTTTATATTATGAAACCTCCTGGAATGCTGCTTTCGTCTTATCTGAAGGCTTATATTGGTTGTCAGCAGCAGCCTTTACAAAAACAAAACAAAGAAGGAAAAAAAAAAAAAGAAAAAAAAAGCCGCCTCTGCTCTTCTCTGCTGACTTTGAATTGTATCAGCCTGAAAACCTGCACAGCATTTCTGCAAGAAAAGGTTTTTCTTCAGCGTTGGACTGGGCAAAGGACAGATGGCATCAGTGCCCTGCATCTTGTGTGATGCTCAACAAGTCATTTGTGTTGCTTGGACCAGACCGTACATACATCTAATGTACAATGATTGCAGTTCCTTTGAAGTGAGCTATTCTTGCCTCTTTTGTAGATGGCTGAGTTATTTTGAACAACACTTAGGGATGCTCTTGTGCCAACTGTAAACCCAGACCCAGAGAAGAACTGGTTATAACAACATTCACTATGTTGAGTTTTATTTGACTACACTAGAACAAACCCAGGCAGCAACCTGAATGACTGATGTGAAACACAAACAGCAGCTGCAGAAACTCTGGATGACAGTCAACAGTGACGTATGTTGTGAAAAGACAACTAACTGTGGAACTGTTATGAGGGCCTAAGCTTCTTCTACCTTCCCAGGTGAAGTGACAGCCAAACTGTTGAAATCTAACAGTGACAGAAAGGCATGTGGAACTGATGGGTCCACATTTAGAAGCAAGTGAAAAGCTCAGGAAGGATTAGACCGCCTTATCAAAGGGGAAAGTAAGAGGCTCAGGTATGAAATCTTGTGGAATGTGAAAAGATTGTACAATATAGGATCCTATATTGAGACATGGTTGTCTGGTGCACCTCTACTGAACTGGCCGCCAAAAAGCAGAACACCCATCACTGCACTGTACCGCTCCTAGTACAGCAATATTGAACTATTTACTAGAATTAGCTCTCCTTTACTTACCATCTTTGGACTCAAAGACAACATAACTCACACCATTAGATTTGAAACAAGGGACAGAGACAGTCTACATGCCAAATAAATGGCCTTAAAATCCAAAACGTATAGAAAGTTTACATAGTACACCTTCTTGGCATCTCTGAGTTTCATTTATCAAAGGTTGCCCCTGTGTACCTCTTACTGATATCTGCAGCTAACCAGCAGCTTAGGGACCTGGTTTAGTGGGTGACATTGGTAGTAGGGTGATGGTTGGATCAGATGATCTTGGAGGTCTTTTCCAACCTTCGTGATTCTGTGATTCTAAGATGGAGCATCACTGCTGGTGTATACTTTCAAATCAGACTGGCACAGATTTTGGAGTGTGATAAAAGTGCATTGTACAGTTATTTTACAGGAACTTACTGACAAGCGGCATGTATTATTGGATGCCAAGTATACTGAAGCCCCATCAGTGATTTTTTTTCTCCATTTCAAAATCTGCTTTATAGCCCATGGAGGTGTGAGGATACAGTCCAGGCTAAACTCACAAACTTCTTTTGAAGAAAAGGAAAATGAATTGGATTATTCCACTGAGTTCCAAGTCCTGTCAGGTGTGCTTCACCTCAGGTTACTACCAAGAGTGATTTGGCAAAGACTCAGTTTGAGTAAAGTGTTGAATGGCATCTCTGTGACATTTGGCAATGCACTGAGAGTCAAAGTCAGATGGTGCAAGCAGGTGGCTGATGGTATAAACTGTATATGGTGGTTTGTAACGAGATGCATTGTACCCAAAATTGAAACTATGATCAATGGCTTGTTTCCATCATGGGAGACAAAAGGTTGACAAGAGAATAGACAAGTATACAAGATCTGGTACAAGTTGCTGATTTTATCTTTATGTTTGGAGAAGAAATAAATGTTGGAGAAGTCATTCTGTTTGTTTTTCTAGAGTAGATCAGAACAAGCTCTGATCCTAACATAGTGCTCCTTGTTGCTTCTTTCATGTCCTCACCGTGGTCAGCAAGCAATGCTTATAAGGAAGTTTGAATGCTGGTAACTCGACTGATCAAAACACTTGATTCATGGAAGAGATCCAATATCTGGAATTGTTTCAAAAAGCTTTCCAAGGCCTGCTAGATTTTTGAATTAACTTTTTAGAAAGAAGAATTTCAGTTTTTCGTCTTCATTTTTCAGTTCCCTTTTGAACGGCTCTGAAATTGAGCAGTGTTCCACTACAAAGCTCTCCTGCAAGCACAGCAAACATTAGGAGAATCCATCATTCACTGTAATTATTACACCACAGAAGAGTGAGAGTCTGACCTCTTTCAACTTTAAACTGGATTCTTTACCTCTTTGCACTGAATTGGAAGCATCCCAGAACTCAGTGTCCTGGACACAAGTGGTACAAAGATACTGAGTTACAACCATCTCTGTGCATTGACTCCTAAGAACACACAGCAACATGGTTTCTCAAGGAGTTGTGGTCCCAGTGTTACCTGACAGAATCAGATGTATTGTATACAGCATATACAGGTACCAAGAGTGAAATCTATGCCACTGGTTTTATTCAAAACTCACCACTAATTCTGTAAAGTATTATTATCTTCAAACTCATCTCCTGACCTTGCCTCCCTAAATTTACACCTTTGTACGTGTATAAATTACCGTACGCAAAATAGAGCGCAAGTATTTACTAGAGATTTAAGGCACAGCAATAATATAAATAATAAAAATCCCTGAAGTAATGTTATACTTCAAGTAACTGGTAATACACTATAGCTGAAACACCTTTATATAAAATATATATAAAACACTAAATATTGTATAAACGCAGGTCTAGCTGTTCTCAAGAGTTTGTTATCAAAACATAAGGGAATACACAGAATAAAGATGGAAAAATACAAAAAATCTGTAAAAAGACAAGTGTTCTTAAAGGATCAAAGAGTCAAGCCCAGAGAAAGGAAGGTTCAACAAGCAATACAACAGTTTAGGATATAGTGGATAAATTTTAGCTTCATGTATGGAGAAGGAAAGGCTATATTGCAAGAAATGTTGCAGAAAAAGGAACAGAGTCTTAAGCAGAGACTGAATGTAAGAATCCAGAAAAGTGGACCAAATTAAAGATGATTTCCAGTTATGGGCACAAGTGACAGGCACAATGGTCACGTTATCCATGGTGATCCAGAAAGGTGGCAATGAGAAAGAGATTAAGAGCCCTGTTTTACCAATTTTAAATCTGAGCTGACGGGAAGACAGCCTGAGGAGATGTCAGATATGAACAGATTTTTTTAGGCTTGCTTTGAAACTCTACTCCATTAAAATAAATATATAAAAATGACCGACTGTGAGGTTACCTGAAATTTCAAATTTAACTCAAAATACTTTAAAATATTCTTACTCTATAGCCATCATCATGTGTCAGCTCTCCTAATACATTTATGTTAACTGAATACAAAAGAAACGTGAAATAAATATAACCAGGAGGGATGATCAAATCTAATTTTGATACATTAGTGTCATATGCTGTACATGTTACAATAGCAGCCAGACTTAATACTAAGCTGCAGGCTATACTGAAATTTCCAAATGGCAGATTGTTCTAAGTGATACCAAGCATAATTGAAGTAATAAACGATAGTAAAAGCAAAGCACACTGTCAGGAAGAATTTAAGTATTTACTTTTTAAAATTAAATGAGTTAGGTTTGGAAAGGCAAGACAAGTGAAATAATGCAGGGCTCAATTTACAGAAAATTCCTTTTATTTATCTGTTGCATTAACCCTTGAACTCTTGCCAAAATTACTGTAATTTCTAATACGCGCTTACCTAAAGGAGGGAGAAAAAAGGCTATCATATTTTCTTATAACAGCTAGCCCAAACTTTGTTTCTTCTTCAAAAATGAAAGTGTTCATGATAAAAAGAATAAAAGTAGCAGAAACATCTGAGGTATTAGCTCACTGCAGATAGTTTTGCCCATTAAATGTAGGCAGCACTGCTGTCTACAGCATATGTACCCTCTGGTTGAATTTTTCACAAAACTTTATTCCAGTACCTATGGTGTGTTGATGACTTTTTTTTTTTTTAACAACATGTGTACTTAATGATAACTCAAGAAATATTGTACTAATAATTTACTTTTATAAATCTTCAATTTCCCAATACACGTTAATACCAGAATGAAAAAGCTAGCTGTTAATACTGAGAGTTATCGTTCTTTTAGGTGGTTAGGACAACCTCACAGATAACCTAGAATGATGTAATACACCCAAGGTCCAAGATGAGTTAGTACTCCAATTGTTAATAACATTACTATTATTTATTTACATATCTTGTGTATAAGCTCATGTACAACACCTCCACTCAGTTATCTGTGTAAGGAAGGAGCAGCTAGACAGGTGATAAGCTGTAGAGACAGATAGGAGCTTTTTCACTCTGTGAACTGAGTTTTCACAGTTTCATTTAATTCTGACATTTTCTTTGCAAGTTTGTTCTTGTCAGGCTACAGTTAATGCTTTTTACTCTAACTTTTAATTCTAGAGAAAAAGAAACTGGGTTATGTTATCGACCTTAAATCTTTAATATAGTATTTACAAATTAAATACATTCTTTGGTTATGCTTAACTTTCAATGTTAAGTTCCTCTATACATCCAGAAGTTTTTTATTTGTTCTTCCTGTAATCATGTCCTTTCTTGCTCTTGTTCATGTCTTCAGTAACAAATGCTTCAGAGGCATCCAAGACACTTAGAAGTTTTATTTACTGCTCTTTAAGACTGATGGAAAATAAGTTTAAAATTGGGTTGGCCTCTGAAACAGCAGAATCTTGATTTTGCAGTGGCTGGACCGGCAGGAAGAAGTTTTGCTTTAATTTAATTTAATTTCCATTTATAAGATGAACCTATCATGCACCTCTAGGCACTTCTACAATATAAAAAACAGCAGCATTACTAAGCCAACAACTGCAAGTTTGCTTGTTTTTCTCTTTGAATGAAAGAAAGCACATGAAAGACCTGCAGAGAAACTCAAAACTCAAGTTTCTCTGAAGGTCATGAACAGTACATGCACTCAGAACAATTACACGTGTTAGCACACACATGGCACTCAGCTGACTTTGAGGTCCACACTACTGGGTGTGAGCTTGTGCTGGATAGCACCTCATAAAATGGTGCATCTCATAAAAACAGGTCTTTTTCTGATCTGTTCACAGACTAAGCAGCACAAGCAGTTCTACAAACAGTAAAAGAATTAAACCTGTTTTCCTATGGCCCTGACTTGCTGTTTTTTACCCAAGGTGCAAACATGATGATTTTCTCTAATTTGGGATGACACTCATAGTATCTCTCTCTTGTGCTGGATCCTTGATGTCTAATGTTTTCCCATACAGTCTTTACCCGATGAGTAGGAAGGAGTCTCTCCTACTCCTTTATTTAGCCCATCTCTTCACTGAACACACAAGAAATTTCCAACATGTCTCTACTAAATTTGATTGAAATGTTTAAAAAAATAAATTAGGGGAGGACATAAAGGCAGACTCACAAGCCTTTGTTCATTAGGAAACTGGGCTATAAATGAACAAAAAACACGTGCAGAGGAAGAACGGGCAAGAAAGCCATGCAGAATAAAGTAGCTTGATTAAAGTTAAATGACCCATCAGCAGTGGACTACAAATACAACCCCAATCTTTTGATATGTACCCTCCTGACATATCCATACAGACCTCAAATATTCTTAATTACTGAAAAGTGAGATTGTGGGTGAAAGAGGAGAGAAACAGGCCTGGGGCAAATTGGAGTTGTTAAAAAAGTCCAGCTGACACCACTTTCACAAGTGAAATCACAGGAGGCATGGAGCAGCACTGAACCTTGTCTGGCAGAACAGCTCTATTTAGATTCTGAGTGCTCCTGGAAACAGACATGAGATCTTTCCTGCATGTTCTGCTGAAGCCTACAGCATTTGCAAATTATTTAAGAAAAAATAATTAATTTTCATTATGACCTATCTTTCCCCCTGTCAACACTTTTTAATGCTCTAATTCAAACATTATATGCAAGGACTGTAAGCTTAATTACAAGCTTATAAATTATAAAAAGCATAATTATAAAATCAATTTTCTGTTTAAAAAATTCAGAAGCCAGTCAACTTAGCAGTATATATTGTAGCAATGTATATATATTATGTTCTACACTAGAACAATAGCAACAATCTTGTTCAAAAATTAATTATATTTTCTAATAAACCAATTTTATAAATCATTTAATAACCTGAGTATTACTCTGGCTATACTTCATAGAATAAAGAACAGGAAGGGCCCAGCACCATAGGCATACAAGAAAAAATATTTTTAATTAAAAAAATAATAATCTGAGATGCGACAGCAAGATGTTAGAATTCATAGTCAGTCTATAATAATAACAATAACAACAATAATATTTTTTCTTCAAGTTGAACACAAAGAACAAAAAAGTCATTAATAATTGAAGTTTGCCAGAGGCATGGCTATTTCTCTCTTTACTAACTGTCTACTGTCTAATTTAATTACAAGTATTAAACTCCATGCTGAGGTCAACCAGCTTCAGTTCCTCCAATATTACACTTCAACCAGTGCTCATTAACGTGTCTACTGAATGGATTAGCACATCTGAAGATGTATGTACCTAGAACAGGGGACAGTCTAATGACAGCCAATTGTTCATTTATAATAGGACGCATGTTGGAGGCCGTAACTTATTATCACTAATGTGGAATTTATTAAATTCTAAAGAAAAAATACCAATACAGAAAACCATTCTTTTCTTAATGTGGCTATAAGAGATCTTATCACTGTTGAACACTTGTGCCCGTTCTAAAACAAAACACCTTATATAAACACTGTCAAATTATTAATATTTTAAACTTTTTAAAAGGAAAAATTAGGTTAATAGACAGCATGTGACTCTTCAGTGAATAAAAAGTCACCTTAGAAAGTACTCATCATATATTTATTAATTGGCATAGTCTCAAATCTAAAAGTATCATTCAGATGTACTGCTTTTTCTCCTACACAATTACCTCCCCTCATTTTTCACACTATTCATGTGATCCCACCAACGTTTGCTATGATGACAAAATACACCCCTATGGCAAAATTAAGGATTGACAGAGAATAATTTATACGGCTTAACCTCCTTCAGTAAAATGCCACCTAGTAGCAAGTAAAGGTATTATGTTTTATGATTTTTTTAGAGAAAGTTACTGGATTTTCTTTTTAGAATGACTCTTATGGGGTTTATTCCCCAAAGAAAACCTGTTAATCATAAAAACCTACCTTTTTTGTTAGAGAGTCATCTGAATCAGAAGGCATTCTTGTTGACACATGAAACATTACTTCTACTGTCGAGGTAGCAAAATATGGAGTGGTCAATCCAGTGCTTTTGTTTTTTTGCAGTCCTCCCATAAAGCCACAATGGTTTGTGAGATTCACCTACAAGTAAAGTCCAGGAGACATTAGGGAAAAAAAATCAAGTGATAAATACATTCTTTACACACTTTTAATTTTTTTTTCAATGGAATTTTAAAAATTGAAGGTCACTTTTCATAACACTGTCAGTACAGTTATGTTTATCTAGCAGTGTTCAGACTCACTGACTAGACTGGAAATCAACTGCAGTGCAGTGGCATTCTATATTCCATGATCACCACAGATGTTGCTGGGAAGACGACGTTGGAAAAAGGTAAGGGATGTGTAAATGAGTATCTATTTCATTACTCCCTGACCTATTGGCAGTAGTGAATCTCACATGCTTTTTGACTTTATAAAAATTCTGTGATACTACATCAGCTCTCACCTGAGCTCTGAAGAAACCCTGCATGAGAGGCATCACAGGCCCACAGGGCAATCAAGATGCCTGCTAATCTGTCCATGAAAGACAAGTACAGGACTGCATATTACTGAATAATCTCTGCCTGCTTTAACTTTCCTAAATTGAAAGAGCTTAGAAATATATAGCTAGTATTGTAATAAAATTAAAACCAGAATTCTTTTCTTTACACTGCTAGCAAAAGTCTATTTCAGTACTTGTAAGTAATGTTAAAGAAACAACAAATTGTAAGATCTAGAAGGATTTATAATTTTCTCTATAAACAAACTTAAGATAAAACTTTTGAATAAATACCTCCCAGCCAAGACCAGCTACAAAATCCTCATAGGCTTGACTTCCCCCAGTATTAGTAAGAATGGAGTGTTTATCTTCTTGTCCTTCAGCAACATAAAACACTGCAATCTTGTGGGTCTCTCGGCTGTAAAACACAGGATGGTCAGTCACTGTGTGACAGTGCCTTTGCTAATACGAAACCAAAATATGCAAACAGCACACACAGAACATGACTTGTATAACTTCGAAAAAGACAGCAGAAGCAATGTACAACTTCTTTGAACATCCTCTCTATTTCCATGTACCCATTCTGTCATTTCTAGTCTGATCTCTAAAGCCTAAAGTTTGGCAATATGTCTACAGCATTTACCCCCTTCATCACTTCTAAGATGTGATGGTGCTGGCACTACCAATTGCTAACAGAATAGCTGGGGTTTTGAGATGAACAAAACCTGTAATGCAGGCATTTACATCGCACTGCCCATTAACAACAAGGCTTTGTGAATGCTGTTGCAAATGCATCTTAAGCAGATGAATTATTTTTAAGTACTACGTCTCTTGTTCACAGCTTGCAGTTAGACATTGGAGCAACTGAAGGTAGTTTCACACACTTTGCTCGTTGATTACTCAACTGTGATAGATTATCCAAAATCAGTCCAAGCAGTAACTACCAATTTCCCAGGGTATGCTTTGAATGCATTCAGTACTGTCCCTGAAGCAAAGCAATTCCCACGACCCTTCTACCTGTAAAATTTTCACAGTCCATGTTAAGTGAGTTCCCATCTTGCCTAACTGCTGAAATTAATTGCAGTGCCACAAGGGCAGAAAGATAACATTTCCTTCTAATATCCATCCCTGAATGCCCTCATCAGTGCATTGAGAAAGCCCTCAGAGGCTAGTTTGGTGCTCATTTGCAAAGAACTCATCAAACTAAAAGTCTGTTTTATACACTAAACTACCATCATTTGGCTTGAGAGATTGGATTTTCCTGGATATAGTCTAAAGCCTCCACTGGATGTTATTTAAACATATAAAGAAATAATTCAAACTTGTTAATTCAGTGCTACATCTCCACTTATAATTCCACATCTTCAAATACTAAGAGCATTGGAAAACAGCTGAACAAGTAACTGAAGCTAAAAAGATGGAGACTTACTTATCTATGTTTTAAATATTTTTTAAAGTTATTTTAAAATTAAAATAATCCCATGTTACATATACAGATTTTCATAATTTTAAGTTACTTTGAAATTTGCTCTATTTCATGACATTCTACCTGCAGAATTTCACTCTACAAGTAACAATAATGCAACTTCAATGTAACAATGATAACTACAGTATAAATGAATAATTTACATTTTTTTTTAATCAGTTCAATTCTCTCATCTATGCAAATTAGTGCCATTTAAGTATAAAACATAAAACAAATAAGGTAGGGTAGCCATTAGAAGAATTTACCATTGTCTTGAATCCAAATTTCTGAGTTCTCGAAGTAACTTCTCATTTTTCTTCAAGAGATGAAAGCTCCTTCTAAATAGAGAAATTTGTAATTTTTTTTATTACCTGTTCACCTGGAACACCAGAACAGTACATGAACTGTACAAAACATTTCCAGGTCCAAGCAAGAACAAATGCTTTTGCTTTTTCAACAGTCCTTTCTTACATAAAATGATTAAAGTATCTTTTTAAAAAAATATGTACAAGCCATTTTTAACTCCAGGAAATCTTCTATATCCATTATAACCCTGAAAACAACCTTTATTTCTTTCCACTTGGCTTCTGTCCACCTACCAGATCAAGCTGCAATCTCCTCTCTACGGAAGAAGGGACAGAATTGTCTTTGATGCATATATAAACTGTAAACTTTACTAGGCCAAAATATTACGTTTTAGTGACAAAAGACGCTCCTGTAATCTACTGTTCTAGGGAGTTAGTGCATTAAACACTGAGCTGCTGCTCTTCTGAATTGCTGAAGAAAACAGAGCACAACTCAGTAGTCGCCCAGCCAGCTGTAGCTATTTAAAGGAAAAAAACACAAAACAATATGTTACAGCCAGAAAGGCACGTCTCATTTTTAACGAAATTGCACTTAAGATGTTTCCCATAAAACACAGTGGAATTAATTTAAGAGCAGTAGTGCTATTCAAAAACAGACTGCCTTGAGGAACTAAAGGCCCAAAACATCAACATTTTTGAAGTAAAAAAAAAAATTTGATTCCAGTGGTATCTCAGTGACACGGGCTATTCTTCTAAAAATACCCATTTTCCTTCATAGTAAGAACATTTTTCAGTATCTCTAATATAAAATTTGACAGATACGGCAAAATAAATTTTCAGAATGACCCTTAAATTCTAGAATGCTAATATTTGTACACATCCACATGAACGTGCACATACATCTAAATACACCTGAACACAAGTAATAACAATAATGTAAACAGAGATATTTACTTTCATAACTGAACGTGGCTTGTCTCCTGTTGTTCTAAACAATTCACAAACATTGCCAATGTCGAAATAAATAGTAGGGGACACGTCTTTTTAGTTAGCTAACAAGGAGGCAATGCTTTGAGGCTGCATGCAAGCATGCTCTTAGCAGGCAAAGCAGCAGGAAACTGTCCAGCAACACAATAGCTGAGAATATGACACTTTCAGAGTCTCATTCTGGCATAGAAATGTAATGATTTTTGCACAAATGTACAAGGAAAGCAACGGAAGCAAAAAGATGTCTTGTCTACCTATGCTAGTACCCCTTGGTACAGCTGGTGAAAGGATTATTAGAAAAAATATCACTCCTCCAATTCTCCTTCCAACACTATGAACATAAATAGCAATAAAGGCAACAGGCTTCTCTTTTCTGTCTCTATAAATGACAGGCTGAAATGCAGAAGAAAACTGCCATTTTCTCCTTAGTTGCACAATCCCTCTCTGCTTTTGTTGGCTGCCCAGGAGTATTTTTGGCTTGACCCATTCTATGAATAACCATTATTACACAGTAAGAGTACCACAATTCCTTTAAAAAAAAAAAAAGTTCTTAAACACCAAGTCCTGTCTTTTCATTTTACCTTTTATCCCAAGAATTCATTCCCAATATACTGAGAAGTAGCCTGCAGTAGTAAAATGCTGACTGGGGCTTTTGTGAGGTTGGCTCGTCCTGCTCCATAGCCCTCATATTTAAATCATTGAAATGTTTTTCAACAAACTCTTTCTCTTCTGTGTGCTGTTTCAGAATTGCATTGATGACATCATTCTCCTGCTTCTCTGAGATGCAGACTGGCTGAGGAGCAGGAATGTTGAGTGAGACACCAGTTCTCTGTAAGCACTCAGGGCTTGTAACACCTAAATACTGCAAGAGCTCATCAAGGGCATCTTCTTCATCCCTAATTGTATCCCATGTCGGTACAGTGTCTCTAAATTTCCTTTTTACTTGGAGTGTAATCCCATCCCTTGAAGATATATCCTCCACATGTTCAAAAGATGAAAGAGCATCTTCTGTTTTGTCTTGTTGAGACAGTGAAAGTGCAAAAGATGTCTGTTGTGATGATGCACATAAAGATGATGGTCCATACAAAATGGCCGAATCCCACGAGTATTTGCCAGACAGGTCACGCACTATAATTCTGACATTTGAATTTGCAGATGCAAGTCCAGCAGATAGTCCTCCGCCAGGCATGTCGTCTTCCGCTTGGATTTGTATGCAAGACACCAAGGAAGTGTTGTTTAACACAAAGAACTGAAGGTTTGGGTTCTCAAAAAGTTCAGGAGAAAGTTCAGGACTTTCACTGTATGGATTGTCATTGTTTTCACACACTTGGCTAGTTAGCATAGCAGGACCTCCGCTCATAGGATAGTGGCCTAAGTGGTTCACTAGATGTGTTATCACAGTACGAGCAGCAACAGAAATTAATCCTTGTTGCATGTGGGTTTTCACTGTGAAAGGAAGAACACAGGTTTTAAAGTAAGAGTTCAGAAAACACTGAGATTTACTTATTTCTTTTGGTCTCTTCTTCCTCAGGAGATTTAAACAGAGGATAAGCACCATGAGCTTAGCATACAGCCAATGCAGTAATGGAAAATACGCATTTTGACAAACACTGGTTTCATACATAAACAGCATGAAAAATCTCAATATAGCAAAAGAAGCATCTTAATTATTTTACAGGTTCCTTACCATACCTTGATAATCAGCGTGGTTTCTCTAAAACACACAATAGCAATTCTTATTCTAGTGAAAATAGATCTTAAATTGCTGATGAGCTAAAGATCATAATTATGTTGTAAGAAGACCATTCCCAACTGCAATGGATTTTTGTATTTATACACATCATTACATTGTGAAAAACAAAGGAACATAGATGCACAAAACCTCTAATCCATCTTAATTTCCCAGGGGAGCATATAGCTGCGGGTTAGGTTGAGAATAACACTGGATGATTTTAAAGTACTAAATCAAAGACCAGGCTGTCTATACTGAACAAAAGCTAACATTAGCAAAATAATAAATAAATATATTGCACGCACAAGCCTAACTGCATTTAAAAAAGTTTCAAGCTGGAAAAACTTGGAGAGAGAAAGAGAAGCAAATTGTACCCATCTTATACGAAATTCATGCTGTGAAACCTAACAATATTTCAATATAGCTTTGTGTTGTGGTTTAACCCAGCAGGCAGTAAAGTACCCCACAACCATTCACTCCCTTCCTCACCCCACAGTGGGATGGAGGAGAAAATCTGAAAAAGAGGGTAAAAACTCAGGGGTTGAGATCAAGACAGTTTGATAAGACAGAAAAGGAAATGATACTACTAATAATAATGATAATGATAAAAGAATATACAAAGCAAGCGATGCACAATGCAGTTGCTCACCACATGCCCAGAGATGCCCAGCCACTCCCCTAAGAGCAGCAGCACCCCCGGCCAACTCCCCCAGTTTTATTGCTCAGCACGAGGCCGTAAGGTATGGGACATCCCTGTTGTCAGTCTGTGTCAGCTGTCCTGGCTCTGTCCCCTCCCATTTTTCTGTTACCTAAAATCCATCAAACTAAAATACCCTGAAACACCTTTCTTTTTTGTTCTTTCAGTATTTTTTGTTTTTCATTCACTCAGTATTTACTGAGCAAATGTAACCTCTTGGATAAGTAAGAACAATTAGCTCATCTTCCTTTATACTGGATATTAACACACAATAAAAACTGATGCTTAATAAACTAATGTCTTTTTGCAGTTCAAGGTCCAAATTTGTTTACCTAGAAAAACTGCAATTGGTTTAACTTGAAAAAATAAAGGCCAATTTGTAATGCATAATGACTGTTGTGACAGTTAATTAGTTTCTAAAGCACTGAATCTTTTCTGCATCTGCAAAAATAAACAAATAGTATATATTTCCTTTTTTTTTTTTTTTTTTTTTTTCTCTCTCCCAAGGATTGGGTAAAGCATGTAAGGGACATTTAGGAATCCGGCTCTTCCATACCTTTAGGGAGCATTACATCTGAACTGCCAAAAGGAAAACATCTTATCCTGTTAATAAATCAGCTTAATTTCTATACTATCCTAAAACTCTGAAAAATTTCACATATTTCGATTAAGTCCTTGAAAACAGATAAAAACAAATTAGATATAGTGTTTTATTATCAATAGCCTTCTTGAAGCTTAAAAATTAACAAACATAAAAACATTCAGTGAAGCTGAATTAAATGCCCAGATACTGATAGCATATGAGGAAATTAAGTTATAGTGCCATCTGCTGAAACGTAAGAAGGAACTGTAAGCAAGTGTATACAAGACAAAGAAAACAAGTTGGATGCTTGAAGAATAATTTATCTGTGCTACTAAGCAGCACCTGGACAGTGCAGATGCTGGCCACCTCTGTCAGCACATTTACGCCAAATGTTTACAACTTGTAACTGCACAGATAAGCACGATAAGGCTTTTGCCAGGTTCCTAGGAACAGATGTGAGCTTCTCAGCTATGTGAAGTCTCACACTGAATAGAGTGTCTTCAGTGTGTTTCTGCTGAAACAACTGAAGCACGAGGGATTTAATAGCATGTAATCTATTGCTATTGCTATTTTGTGGCAAACCCTAAAGATCTCAAACCATATCACAAACGTATTGTGCCTACATGCATAAAGATACTGCTTTAGGAGCCGGAAGACATACAGAAAGACATGCAATGAGACAAAGAATGGAACATCAAGCTAAAATTTGGAAGGTCCATTTCCCAGCCCTACCACAGTCATTCTATGAAAATATTATTGCAGGTATTTTTTTTTTTTAATTTTAATTCAATAATATAAATCTCTAAGTGCCTCCACTAGAACATGAGAACAGTACTTCTCACTGCATCTCTTCAGAGTATGTTAATGTTGATCACTTGATCCAAAAATGTCACAGAAAACTTAAATCAGAACTATTAAGAGAAGCGTACAGAAAAATAAACTCTAAGACATAGCCTGTTATGTTGAAATAAAATAAAGCAGTCTCTATAAACATTTTTGCCACACAGCAAATTAGATTTTGGTGATGGTTTCCCTTATTAAAAAAGGAAACCAACCAAACAAATCAAAAACCAAACAATAATGCATTTGGAAAATATGAGAGTTTTAAATTAAATTTGTAACATGTAGGATACATTTAGGAATTTGTTCCTAGAAGCACATCTCCTCAACCAAGAACAACTGCATATTCAATATATGACAACTCTTAAAATGAGTATCTAAACCATGCACTGTGTTTCGAAAGGGCAGCTCAAAATATGCAATAATGCAACTAAGCCATGCTATTGCACATTAAAGAAGTGTAACTGGCTGCTTTGCCAACAGGTAATCCTAAGGGAACACATTTCTGCTCTTTACAGCAGTAGAGTCTTTCACTTGGGCAATGCAATTTGCATGTGTATGTGATCACTTGGTAATTTGCTAGAAGCATGTTACATTTTTCTCAGTTCCTGAAATTACCACTGTTGTGGAAAGAATGAAAGTCCATCGCCACTAATTTGTATCAGTGGCATGAATGGAGGATCCCTGAATTTCCTTAGGATGTGTTGTTAACTCTTTACTTCAACTTTGGCTGAACCGCTTCTAAACAACTACAGTTATGTAGTAGAAGGAAAAAGTAATGACTGAGGGTAGAATTAAACTCTCCTCATCCTTTTAGCTATCCAAAAGAATGATGCACCAGTACAGAGTGACTCATCTCAGTTAAAAGCACAAACTGGAGAAATGTGATGAATCATTCTCTGGAAACTCTTCTTTTCCTCCATTACTTTTAGATGGAGCCTAAGAGAATTCAGCTTAGCTTAGTTATCTAAATTTTACATTAGTTTATGGAAGTCCTTCTCCTTTCTAATTTTAAGCTACAGGTACAAAGAGAGACCCTCTCTAGAATATCCATCACAAAACACAAACCTGGATGCACCATGTATAGGCTGTTTTTTTAAAATGTGTACTTTTTGTCTCCTTTCAGTAAAAAAACAAACAGCAGCAAAACCTTAAAACCTTATTTTTCTAATTTTTAAAGAAAAGCAAAGACTAAATTTACATCACATGGAGAACTTTTCTTCAGAAATTCAAACATGTTAGGAAAAATGGTCAGTCTACACAAAACAGTTTAAAAATGTTTGAAGAAATGACATAAGTAGGGTAAAATACATGATGTCAATAACTGATGCACCACTATGTCTATGCAATGCAACTACTGCCTTTCCAATCACATCTACCTCTAACAGATTGATTTATGAAGGACAGGATTTAAAGTGTTTTGCCTACAGTTGCAAAGAGATTCCTGTAATGTGTTATTTCCTTCCAACTAGACTCTATTCAATGGTCTGATTTTGCTATCTATTGATATTAGAAGATATATAGCACTTGCTTAACTCTATATATTTTCATGTAACCACCTTCCTTGTTTATACATGTGTTATGAAAATAATTGTACTTTTTTCGTAAATGTTCACATCATTTAATATAAACATTTAAAAAAAATTAAATGAGAGGCTCCATTTTAATTCTCCCTCATATATGTTCATGGTCCTTTAATGACAGGTAAAAGATCAGAAGTAGGTGAGCAGATCATGGCACAATATAACTAACCTATATGCTATAATGCTGTACTTCTTGGTGAAAGTATACCTGTATCAGTGTGATACTGGCTAGTTAGGTGCGGTTAATCAGCACAGGCAGTGCTTAATGACTGTACTGTAGCTAGAGGAAGCTGTTGTTGCTACCAGCTGGAGGATATGGTCATCTAGTAGACATGCTCTGTGATTCCTTAGATGTGTGAAAGCACCACAGACTTGCTGTCTGCAAATTCTGATGATGCAAGAAAAGCTGCTTATTGAAGTCTAATGTTAGCTGCTGGAAGTTCTTTCTGGTCTAAATATAACACTTTAATATACTTAACCCAATTTCAAAATCATACTTTATGCATCTTATGCTGCAATTTACCACTTTATTGGAAAAATAAAAAAAAGGAGGAAAAAGCAGTTTCACTAGTTCTACCTAATGCCTTCCTTACAAGAGACAGCATTTGGAAAGTTAACGAAACAAAGATGGGAATATTCCTCTTCTCTCCCCCCACTGCCTGTTTCTAGAGGATTTAAGAAATCTTTGCACAGCTGTTTATCGGAGGGCTTGCTCCAACCTCTGAATAGGTCCTGTACCCATTATACAGCTGTATCACTGAAAGTCCACACCAATTTGTACTGTGGTTAAGTGTGCATAAAACTTGTGATGGATCTGACCTTGAGCAATGGGAGTACAAGAATCACAACCCTTAAAGTGGTAACAAGCATCCTGTTTAGAATACTGCTGTTTCAGTACTTTCACTTTTGCTTGTTACCTAAGGAAAGAGTCTAGCAATCCCCACCCTGTCTTTGTGTAACTTCCCTGATTTCCCTACTACTGCTGTCCTACCTGTTTCCATAATCTTCTAAAAGATATGATAGCACTTCTACTCTACTAAATGAGATGCTGACAAACTGCTCTGCTATTATCTTGCACTAACTGACCCCCTTGTCTTGACTGAGTCCCAGGCTGGTCATTATCCACTAACTTTACTTGTCCAATTCCTTCAACAGTGTCAGAGATGCTGTGTGATCAGTTAAAAACTGCCAATTTTATTCTCTTCCTGGCAATATAGGCTAGAAGTGCCAAGGTTGCAAGACCATGGTTGTGGTATAATGCTGTCACTTGCCAATTAAATTTCACAATCTGACTTCCAATTCCTGAGTTCTAAAACTTTAAAAACATATGGGTCTTCCCTAACTTATCTGGAGAGAGAGAAAAGGCACACCTGAAATTACTTTTATTTAGAAATTTAACAAGAAATCATAAAAGAACGGATCACGTACGGAAATGCAAAATGAAGATATCGATACTAAGGCTTTGTGCAACTGCATTCATTTAAAGAGAAATCTATTCAGGGTTGTCTTTTCAGATTGTCAGATTAAACAAGCCACACAGCATTTGCTGCAAACCCATAATTACAGATTATTACAGAATACAAAAGATGCCAGGCATAAAAAGCTACTACAATTCACTACACTGTAATAGAACATGCGGTGGAAGTTAATTTTGGCAAATGCTTTAAATATTAGCTTTACATAATATGTATAGGTGAGACTGTAATTAGGACAGAATGAATCCTTCGAAGCCTCTTTCATTCTGACCCAGCAGATGATTACTTTTTACTAATAAGACCACAGCCATTTGACAAAAAGCCAACTATAGTACCTTGCTTCATTCTTCAGTAAATTTAATAATTACAGCTCCTCCTGCCAATAGTTCTCAAATCAGACTTGTTCAATCCAATACTGAGCTTATTAGGGGACAGCTCTATGTTTAGAATTCTTTGGCCAAAAAAGTACTTGAGGATGATGAAGCATGCCTTAGACAAGGGCACAATGATTAGCCATTTTCTCTACATAAAAAACAGCACGTAGTCACTACAGACCACAAAATCACCTGCTGTTAGCACACAGCTGCTACAAAGAGCTTCTGCATTTATCTGGTTCTTAATACCTTTAAGGAAGCCTAAATGGAACAACTTAATATGGAAGGAGAATAGCACTACACAGAATTTCTGGTATCAGTATTAATTTCATCTTTTTCAATTTTCTTCCCAAAGTAGCCATCTGATATTTACTAGATACAGAGGAGTAGTATATACTATACAGTGTATCTTAGTTTCTTATTTTTGAGTTCTGAAGAAAATGCTAATTCTCAGGTATCTTATGGTTCCAAACAGATGAGAGAAAATTTCTCTTCTAAAAGTGTAAATAGAACAACAACAAATTATGACAAGGTAAAAAAAAAACAAAAAACAACTTATAACATTGCAATCTCAGATAAGAACAAAATCTGAAATATTTTTAGAAAAAGGAGTAAAGCTAAGAACAAAATGATTTACTGAAAGTAAACTCAAAAGCAACATTTATCCATGCTGCAATCCGTAACGCTTTTTGTTGATACAGAGCACAGAAGAATCTGTATCAAATTGATCTTCACATTGTTCAGAAGATATATATTTCAGTTAATTGAACAGTAATTGCTCAAAATTATGTTAGCTAATTCCATACTAATGGTCCTTACGTAGTGTCTAGTTATAATTTAAAACTTATGCTTTAGACAAACACTTCAATAGTGGAAACCAAGATAAAAATCTTTTTGAAAGAAAATGTATTTAGGCAATTTCACAAACCTTCAGTGACTGGCTGAAGTTTAGAAGAACGCTCAGAGTCTGGAGAATGCAGTGGTTCTGGTTCCTTCAAGCTTTCTAAATGCATAAAAGGATCGTAGTCCACACATGCCAAATCAGAAAGACTTAGAGGAAAATATTTGGGGTTGCTAAAACACTGAGAACCATAGACACATCCATGAAGAACCTAGAACAAAACCAGGATTTCATCACATTAATTACTGAAATGTCTATCTGATAGTTTTATAAGAAAATAAGTTTATTTTTATTTACATTTTCAAATGAAGTTGTTAGAAGCATGTAGGTAGGATAAAATGATGGAAAATTTTAGATGCTCAATATTTACAGAAACAAACACAGGTCTGCAAAGAAAACCACTAAAATTGTGTCTACATTGAAGTGGAATTTAACAGTACAGAAACATGAAACACATTTTCCAACAAATCATTAAGCCACTTTTATTTGTAGATCTCCTGTCCCCCCTAACTACATACACTAGGTCTATGCTGTTGGAGGTTTTAATCCCATTCACTTAAAAAATACCGAAACAGAACAAATCTCCGTTCTGCATACATGAAGACAGTAATCATAACTTAACAGTTTTTACTTTGCTTACTGCTAATGGTATTCTCGTTTACCAAGTAAAGAAACATGTACCTTATAGATACAATTAAGAACAGATCTCTCAGTCTTATCATTTTCTGCTCCTGTAGAGTGAAGTGGCTGCAGCAAGGTCTTTAATGGCAAGGCCATTATCCAATCCAACAGGCACAGAAGTAAAGAAACCACCAACTGCAACAAACACTTTCAATTACAAATCAGTTAAACCACCACTTGTTACTTCACAGTTACCACTGTATTTCATTTCTCTATTTTGTTTTCTTCTCTCAATTTAGAGAACCTGTCAACCTTCGACAGAAATGGCAAGTCATACTTGTTTGGAAGCTTCTGTATGTTCAAAATGCTATAGCATGAGCAAAAATTTTAGCTACTGAGATATTTAACAAAGACCATTCATACAAGAGTTTATCATCATGGTAAATCTGAGTAGCTACCGTGCTTAAGAAAACACCCATGATTTTTCAAAACTGGTCTGTAGGGTGCTGTTTACAAAATGACAGATTACACACATACAAATTAAGGCTGACATACCATTCGGAATGTAAATCACTGTAAAGTGAATGAAGGATTACACAAAACTGAACTAACACAGCTGCATTTCTGCTTTATAACTAATACAGAATTTCCTTCACAACATGTCAATATTGCTATGCAACATCAGGTATCATCTGACAGAAATCCGACTGCTTTCTCTATTGTAGGCTCCTCAGTCAGCAGAAGAACCAACTCCCTCTAGGGGATATTTGTAAAGACTGTAGAAGATAATTAGATTAAGACACACACGCCAAATTATTAATAACTTACCAGCTTCAAATGATTATTTTTAATTTTAAAAACTTAGCTGTGGAAGATGAAACAATCAGATAAATAGCTTAAGATTCTCTAAAATATTTTCCAAGTTAAATGAAAGTCTTTCAAAGAAAATCCATTTAAGTAATTTACTAATAAAAGACATAAAAACATCTTACTCATTTCACATAATACACTACAACTTTGTCTCACAGAAGCACCATAAAATAAACCTAACAATGAAGGACTCTTAAGTATTTTTTATTACACAAATTTTTGAAAAGGCACTAGGACTAAGTTTGTAAAACTAAGCAAACCCATTTCTGATGCAGCATTTGACAAAAAATGATCAGCTAGAGGTCATGGGGAAACTTTTTCATTTATGGGAAGCATCCTCAGCCACTGGCTTGTCACAAGCAAAGACGAGAGGTTAAATGGGGCTCTGGTGGCCAAAATGACTAACAGATGAATCGTAGCTCCCATTGGAATGGGTGCTCCAGAACAGCAGAGCTGCCAGTGTAAAATCGCACTGAAATGTCCAAATTTAAATGATTACTGTGTCCCACAGCTCTTGTTCCCCTAGTCTAAGAGGAAAGCCAAATAATTCAGAAAAGATACAGCTTTCAGGAGACAGCAAATACTACTGTGAATATCAGAGGGTTGAAAAAAGAGCCTGTCTTAATTAGGGGACTCAGGTGCCCTGAAAATATAAAAAGAGCAACTGTTTTGAAGGATGACAACAATCAAATTCATCTGAATATTACAAACTATCTTGTTCAAAAATGTAATTACAATGGAAAAAGTAAAAAATCATAACCTTGTAAGTATTTTGAAATGTACTTTCTACAAGTTGAAAAATATATTTTCACTATAAAATAATTTTGAAGCATCTACATTACTTCTAAGTTCACTTAGCATAAGGAAAAAAGAAATAAGATTTTTTAATTACTGAAAGCAATCTATTTCAATTAATTTTAAATGTGTATTTTCCTATAAAAACTTCAGAAATTCACTTCATAAAGAATACTGCTGAAAGTCTGGGAAGACTATACTATATTATACTTAAAAAGCTGAATACCTGCTTTAAGGCACATCTTAAATTTTGTAACAAAACTCTGTCACACCTTTGCAATAATATTAACACATTAAAAAGGAATGGAAAGTATTTACCCTCTTGTCCTGTTCATATGAGGAAGCTTCTGTACTGGGTAACAGATGAGTAATAGTTGCTATCAGAATCTGAGGAAAATATAGCATAGTTTTGTTACAAATATAATTAAAATATTTCAGTTTATATAATGAATTTTTAAGCAGGTAAATGTGATACAATGGTAGATTCATGGTTAAATTCTATTTAAGTTACTTTGAGACAAAGCATAGGGCCACTTTTTTTGTAAATAAAACCCTTTTAATTGAATTTCAAAGACACTAAAGGAAAATGTTATTCATGGCTGACATAGGTGCATTAGGGACAAAGAAATTACATAGCTACTCCAAATATTTAGGCAGGAAGATAACTTAATCCAACACACTTGTAGGGTGCAGTAAAGAGCCTGATGAAGGTTTGTGTATGGGACTATTTGAATTCCATTATTTCTTAGAAATACTAGAATTTGTAAACACTCTCCCTTCACCTACGACTCAGTAACATGACTGCACAGGCACAGAGAAATACTTCTTATACCTCTTAAGAAGCACCTACACAATTCCCTTTCTGGTTACTTGGGTGGCCTCTATCTTTTTTTCTGTTGTTAAGACTCTCAGAGGCCATAGCCTAACTCCTTGTTATTTAAAGCGTATTCAAAAAAAAAAATATATATATATATATTTGCTTAATACTGACAAATTTCAATGGATATGTAGAACAGAATTGCAGATCCATATTTTAAGTAATCACTTTCTCACTAAACTTAAACATACATATTCACCCATATTTAATATAAATAACAGACTTAATTGACAATATGGCTCATGTAAATAATGACAAAATTGTACTGGAGGAAAAAAAGCATTATATAGCCATTTTCCATGTTAATACTGAAGCTAGCAAGTGTTATGTGAACCCATACTGTTAATGTTTGTTAAGATTATATTTATATTAATTTTGTGAAACATACTTGCCAATATTCTGGTATTTTAATTTTAGTAAAATGTGTTTTACTGTTAAATTTAAAAGAATAATAATTAAAAAATTTAAAAATTACTTACTTGAATAATTCTTAAAGGTGAATCAGCTTGATACACTTGAAGTCTATGCACATAATGTATCAGCATGTTCAGCATACTGCAGGCAACTTGGGCTACTGTTTTATTGGGAAACTAGAAAAGAACACAGCACGGTAATGACATTATGTGATTTCATGTAATAGCATGTTAATTGGTAAGCTGGTCAGGAATTCTGATGACAGTTTTATACATTTAGCTCCTTATGTACCTTATTACAGGAAAAAAAACACAACACATTTTACAAAATATAAAAGGAATAAAATAATGTTATCAGTTAACATCAAAGTTTTGGAACAGACAATTAGTGAGCTGCACACAACGAGGGAAAGGTCTTCCAAGTTCAACGTCAGACTGGTTAGTATAGGACCATGAAGCCAGAACAAACAAATTAATTTCATAGTACCTGCGTGATTATTAATGTTAACACATCACTGAAAAAAACAAGGATCTGATTTTGCTTTCAGAGGCCTTTATTGAGAACCAAGGTATGTGAACAGCCAAGTGTTAATGACTGCTGCGTACAGTACTAGTCTGAGTGGAACTGCATGCACCCTGACTTCTACACTTAACTCCTGTTTTCTGTGTTGTCTTTTAGAGGTAGCACAATGTTGCTGCACTGGAGCCTGGTTTAAACAGTTCCTAAACTGCTTAAGTTAACTGTGCGGGTTGAGGCTGACATGAATGGATTTATACAATCTAGCCTCTCTAGTCTTGCAAGTGGATGTATACACTGCAATAGACTCCTAAGAGGGAAAACAAAGAAAAAGAAGAGACAGGGTTATATTTCTCTGAATTGTTAATACACAGGACATGTAACTGAGGCTTCTTCCTGTGTTATAGTTGCCTTCAAACACTAAGCTGTGCATCAAATAACGAAGTCAATTTTACAAGTGAATCTCATTCATCTAGGACATGAAAATCCTACAAATCTAAGCTAAAGATACACTCAAAATGGTTATTTTAGCACAGCAAAACTACAGATTTTAGAAGACGGCACAAAATTCATAGAATAAATTACATGTAATAGCCCCAAGCATATGGGGAACGGAAGAATTTCAAATACATTCTTAATTTAAAAAAATGCTGTATCTTTGCTGAAAACAAGTATTCCAAACCATACTTCCAATGAATTGCAAATCACACAGAAAATACCTTTAATTAGGAAAAATCCTATTCTATTTCTTTGATGAGTGACTTTAGAATTCCTCCTTTCTTAAAAGACTAATAATGTAGATTACTTGTTTTAATCTCACTTAGCAGTGAAACTATCACAGGTGCGTGCTGCAGCATGGCAAAGTGCCTACCTCCTAAGTCAGAATTATGTTATAAAAATAGTTAGATCTACTTTCTTGGCTTCTTAGAATGTGTTCTTAATCAGTCCAGTGCTATTAACTTTCAGAGATGGGTATATTTTACAAACCTATAGGGAGAAGGAAAAAAAAAAGCTTTAGGAAAGCTGAAACACCTGGGCAACAAAGCCTGAATTGAACATTAAGGATTGCAGAATAAAATTTTTGAATGGCAAAAGTGTGAGGGTGAAAAATACACTGGAAGAAAGCTCTACCCTGAGCAAGCTTCTTACAAAGCAAAGCTATCATATTTTACATCTAACGTCTTGAAAAGAAGACAAAAAGGTACAAAGATAAGCAAAAGTATGGAGTACCATGCTTTAACACTTTTTATTTAATATGCAGAAGCATAAATAAAGACTGTGATTTGCTCTTATAAGACAGCCACAGAGCCAGAAAGTAGACAGGCTAGTTAATTCTTGTTCTCAGTGTTCTTGTTCTCTTTTTCTCAGTGGTCACAGTTCCCTACTACTGCTGTTATTGAACCAAAACAATGCAGACATCTTACATCCGCAAGCCTTCCCAGAGCTTGCGATAAGAACACCATTACTTTTTATTCCTCACAAAACAGCCTCTCTCCATTCCGTGAAGGTACATCATGTAAGCGCAGTAAGCAGAGTGCAGATTCTAATGGTCAAGCTCAACAGGCAACAAAAAAATTAAATAAAATTGAAAGTGCAACAATTTGATTACAGAACTTGAGATCAAATCCAGGTTGCTGGAAATATCCTCACAAGCTTGCAAGAAAACCCCAGAGTCATTGAAGAAGACAGAATGGGTGGTCAAGCCAGAGTATCTTAATGCAGAATGTCCAGATTAGTGAATTTAAGAAAAATTGCCTGAGAGACCCAGAGACTTTTCAGACTTTGTCAACAGTTAGCTGTTGACTATATAAAAACTGTTTTTTTTTGTTGTTTGTTTGTTTGTTTGTTTTTTAAATAAAAAAGCAGGTCATCAGGCTCTAAAATGAATTAAGTGAATGATTTCAAGTGGTGTTTCATGCAAATTATTTAACCTCTTTCTGTTCTCTGGTTGGAGAGAAAATATTTTTTTCTTTAAAGAAAAAGAGAACAAGGTATTGAAGTATTGGAGACTCATTTTGTAAGGCTGAAAGGTATAAAATAATGAATATGAATAAAATTAAAATCTTGTGCACTGAATTTTTCAAGACTTATGCATGGAAAGAGCACCAGGTATGAAGCCTTTACCAGTACAGAGATTGTCCCAAACTGATCAAACCTTTCATCTACTTCAGAAATCTGACCCAGCACAGTCTACCAATCATGTTTCAAAAGAATACAAGGAAACTTCTGAACAGACAAACAGCTGCGTGTCCTGCAAGGACACTCTTCCTGAATCCAAGCAGCAGCACCAGGTTTATGTTCCATAGCAGGACAATTCAACCCCTTGAATTCACACTACTCTGTTCTGAATTCTTTCCAAGAGCCTTCAGAGCTGCCTAAAAGTGGCTGTGCAATTCAACGAACAATCCACCAGCCATTCTCCACCTCAGAAAGATGTTTAATAAAGCATAAGAATTCACTACTTTTATATTATTTTATATTTAGTAGTGTAACTGTGGATGTATTTTTTTAAGTTACTCGATAAAAGAAGCTTCTAATGGCACTTAACTTGATACCTTACTCTCAGGGTTTTTCTTAGAAGGATAAGTCTTAATATACTTTTAATCTTTGCAAGGACCCATTAGTTTCTGGATGTCACATAAGTAGTTTAACATTGTCCAAACTTGCAAATAAACTATTTTAGTGCTCATTCAGCTAAGCCTGTACAACATATTTTTGTGGTGTATCTGCAACATTTTTGAGAGGAGTATAATTTAATCATGAGATGCAGAGGTCTGGATGGCTGGTTAGGATCCTTTGAACTCAGCCTTCAGCAGAGGTTAACACAGCTACAGCAGTTATCTCCACACCGCTGAGGGAAGTGTGGTGAGATTTGGAATGAGCTGCTCAATTGTAATTCTGACAATAACTTCTGTATTTCAGAAATAAGCATATAATCATTGCTAACATTTATATTTAATATTATTTGCTCAATTGTAATTATCAGTAGGTTGGACTAGGACTATAGCTCTCTATCCATACATTTATCCTGAAACTGAGAAAATTCTTGGAGCTCAGATAGCTGAGTACTTCAAAACCAAGAGATTGCTTAGGTAACAAATTAATTTGTTTTCCCATGATATATATTTAATCATTTCATGATTAAGTTCTGTTGTGAGTTTATACCACTGCTCAAAATGGGAGAAAAGCCAGCATGCCCTGGATAAAAGTAGAAATATAAACACCTTTGTCTTCTCATTCAAGAAGTAATTTATATTTAATACAGATGAGATACGAATAATTGGTTTAATAAACACATCAAAGAAAAATAGGAGAAAACACTGTGAATGTCAGGATTAAATATATTTCAAAAATTTGATAAATTGTAGAAGTAAGATGATAACAGTGTCATTGGCTTAATACCAAAGTTGCACAGGAACCTGATAAAATGAATTAGTTAAGGGATATTAAAAAGCGAGGGGAAAACCCTGGAAGAGAAAATTAGTAAAGCTGCAAAGCATGAATGTGATTTTGCAAAACAGGAAATTGCAATTTAGAGACTAATACTAAAAGCCCTGAAGCAATCCATTTTAGAAGCAGACTCAAATCCTGCTTCATGGGATGTCATCAGCTGATTTTCTAAGATATTTTTCAGATTCTCTTTGCTGAAAAGAATAGTTAGTCAGCAACATCTGGCACAAGCTATGTATAACAGGTGTACACCCAATTTTTATCAACACATATATACAGAAAGACTATTGAGTTTTGGTGTAAACAAGAAGTATGTAGAAAGCTCCTGAAAATAAACTTGGAAATATTTTATTTGAAGTTACTGTTGATGAACATGAATGAAGTCTGTAAAATGCTATAAAATGTTTTTATTAATATTCTAATTATTTCATAAAACATTAACTAACAGGGAATGGTATTCAAAACAGTGGAAGAGCAGAAGCACTTGTTTAAGAAAAAAGACAAACAGAAAAGCCCCAAAACTCCAACCTTTTAACATAGATGATGAAAGAAAGCTGTTGATGTACTACCATCAATACACAATCTCAAGACTAGACTTGAAATCCAATGACACTAGTTTCAGAATAGCGAAAATTTGTCAATTGCAAAAGACAAATAACAGCAAATCTATTCAGAAACATTTTATAGGCCTTGCACCACAATGAACAAGCTGTATGTGAGTAAGCTGCATTTCTAAGTGAGAATCACTGCATGCTAGCCATGTCCAACAAATTCAAACAAAACAGCTAATATCAAGCCAGTAAATTATTCAGATTTCAATAATGTAATGTGAAGGTGTTTGTGCAGAATGGCACAATGACTACCAGAGACTGTAAAATTTTATCCTGCAAATTGTTTTCAGAACCACTGCATTGGGTTTAGGTGGCAAGGTGTTGGTAGCAGGAGGTGAGGAGCTACTCCTTGTCCTACACAGCTGGTCCCAGGGCTGATATTCCCTGCAGCCTTTGGAGAGCACGCACTAGAGCAGAGGAAAAGGGTGAGAGAGAAGGAAAAGAGACACCCCTTCAACTTGTGATGTATGGTGCCTTGCTCATGGGACTGACTATAACCTGCAGTGATAACTTGGAAGAGGAGAAGAAGAACTTGGAGTGAAGTTGAGATTGGGAAACAGGGTAGGAAAGGCATTTTACCTATGTATTTTAATGCTTTTGGCTTTTTTTTTTTTTCCTAACCAAATTGGTAATCAAATATTTATTTTAATTGGCAGTAAATTCATTTCCCCACGTTGGAAGTTCCCTGTTTTGCCTGCAACAGCAATTGATAAGTGATCTCCTTTGACATGCTTTGTTAAAACCTGGAAATTCATTTTTATAATAACCATAAAAACAGCTCTATGTTTCACCAAATTAGAGTTCTAATTATTCCCTTTCAATAGGTGGTATAATCACAGAAACTTTGATGCAAACTCTTGACCTCTCTTCGGATTCAGATTTTTTAACAGGTCCTACATGATTCTGTCTGGTAATGAGCACAGAAAAGTATTTTACCACAGGAAAACAAACATCTTCCAGTGCTTCCACACATGCAGCTTAAGTACTCTACCTTCCTCTAAACATCTGGTGAGGCCCAAGAAGTGATACTAATGGGATTTCGTTGGTGGGGGCAAGACGAGGACAGGTAAGCAAGAAGCATGAGAACCTTTGGGAAAATTCTGCTTGCCCTCAGCTTTTGTCACCTTTCCACTTTCTTCCTTGTCCCCATCTTACACTGGATGCTCTGCTCTGTCAACCAAACAGCATGAGGCATTCACTTGGCTTAGGACAGGTCTTTTGCATATGATGGCAGATGGCTCACAAAACTGGGATCCCTTCCAGTTTCCTCTGTTTCATCTCTGCTCTGGCTTTTCCGTTTTGTAATGGGTCAGGAGAATGTACCATGGAGGGTTCAACAGTACTGTTCATCAGAGTTGGGGAACACAGGATGCCAATTAGTAGAGAATGTGATTTCCTTGGGCACCCATGTCTAGTCTAGACAGAAGATGTGTAAATGTTGGAGCAGGAAAGACTCCGACACTTCTGCATTCCAGTGTCTTTGTAGGGATCTATACTGAGTGGCAATATTTCGGTAGTGGAGGTGCTATAAGGGGGCCTCTGTGAGAATAGGCTAGGGGCTGCACAGACACAGCAGGTCCCAGACAGGCCCACAACAGACCCACCCCAGGGTATGGTGGAGCCCACCAGCCAAGTGTGTGGCACCTCTGTGGAAACGTACTTAAGAAAGGGCAAAAATGCCACCCTGTCAGAGGGAAAGGAAGAGGAAAAAAATAAAAAATAAAAAAGAGAAACAACAGTGCAAACAGCAAGGTCAGAAAAGAAGGGAGATGATGGTTGAGGCACCAGCGCAGCCTGCGGGAAAGACCACACCAGAGTAGATATGCACACTGCAGCTTGTAGAGGACACCACACAGGAGCATTGGATATTTCCTGAAGGAACTGCAGACCATAGAGAGCCCATGCTAGAGCAGATTTATCCTGAAGGACTGCAACCAGGGGAAGGACCCACATTATGGAACTGTTATGGACTGACTGCAATCCCCCATCTCCTCTGTGTGAGGGGGACTAGGTGGAGGTAAGGAGCTGGGAATGAAGGAGTGAAGTTGAACCCGTGGAAAGGGGAAGGCAGCGGCAGGTGTTGTTTTAATTTTTTTATCTTTGTTTCTCACTACGCAAATTATTTTTACTGGCAATAAATTAAACAAATTTACCCCACGTTGAGTCTGTTTTGAGCATGGCAGTAATTGGTGACCAATCTCCCTGTCTTAATCTCAACCCACAAGCTTCTTCATCCTATTTTCTTCCCCTGTCCTATAGAGGAGGGGGAATGTGTGAGCAGCTGGGAGTTTGACCCTTAGAAAAGTTTAGCCCACCACAGAGTCCTCCATGTTTTGCAAGAAGTCAGCTTGTTACAAAGAGATACAGAGAGATGGAACCTTGGGTACAGGATGTGGGAAGGGGTAGAGCTGGACAAAGTCAGACAAAACCGGCAGTGCTTTTCTTGAAACTTGAATTGTAAGGATTATTTATGAGAAGATGGGGTGATGGACTATTATATTCCAATGGGTAGAGGTCACAGTGAAGTGGCTAATGATATACATTAAACAGAATCCACTATCTCATGTTGCAGCACACCATTTCCTCCAAACTTAAGTAAGAGTAAATTATAATACAGGTAATATTAAGAGTTTAGAAATCCAATGATTAAACTGAATTCATGCTTTTGTAAGAACTGAAAATGAGACTGTGAAGTAAGGATGCTAAAATGTCATCATGATTTTGAACAGGCAATGTATCTGTAAGATGCTGTACATTGTAAAATTGTTAGTCTCTCACCTTTAAAGAAACACAAATCACATTCAATGCTTCCTTAATCTGAGGATGATGGGATTCATGAACTAGCTCCTCACAGATCCAAATACCAAGACTGCAAAGAGCAACACATCTGCAAAACAGCGGTGGAAGATAAAGAGCTGAAAAACATGCTTCAAAAATATGCATAATTTTTATGATTCATGACATGCCCTGCTAAAACCTAATAAATGTTTTGTTTTAATTACTAAAAGAACTAAACAAATACTTAAAATCCTGTAACTTCTACCTGTAAAAAAAAAGAGTAAAAAATCCCACCTACCCCTGTCAAAACACAAGAAAGGAAAAAGGACAAACTGGAAAATCTAAAAGCAATTAAGTACCACTGAATCTCTATATGCTTTATGGATTCAAAGTATTTTCTCATTTTCTTTTAAACATTTTAATTTCTTAAATTAATATTTTGAATTAATATTAATATTTTATTTTAAAAAAATATTTTCTTAAGACAAAGGAAAAACTATGGTTGGAGATCCTTCCTACCCAGTGTGAGAGTTTGTACATATTTCTTTAGAGTTTCTGGGACACAGATGGGAGAGAGGAAAGTTATTTGTTCATAGATATTTACATTTTTTTAGACTGTCAATAAATAAGGAGTAAATGAATGCTTGAGACTGTACCTATTTTGATTAAATATTTAAAATAACATTTATCAGTGTTTCTTTTAAAACAGTGATACTGTATTAAAGCAGGAAATTGTAAAAGTAAAGTATATTTAGATAGATGGGCTCAAAGAAGCAGACATGTATGAAAGTTGCTCAGAAACGTTAGGCTTAAGCAACCTCCAAATCATTTGTAATTATCTTAAAAAACTAAAGGAGATCCAGTTCCATGGAACTGGAAAGGAAATACTTTATGTATCTTAAGAAAAGAGAGAAAGGTTAACTGTGGACAATTATAATCTATCCAATTTTGATATCAAGAGATAAAAAACTACAAGCAAAATGAAAAAGGAAAAAAAAACAAAAACATGGTGCTAAGAAACAGACAAAGTTGACTTACTGAGAATAAATCACGTGAAACCAAACTATTATCTTCCTTTCACAGGCTACTTACCTTAGTGAAAAAGGGTAAACAGCAAATAGTAAGAAGTCCCACATGACTCTTTTATAAGCATATAAAGAAAGGTCAGCCTACTGGAAACCACAGCAGCATAGGAGGCATGCAACTGATTGCAGAGCTGCACTCAAAGAATTACCAACGATATAAAACCAAATTGGTGGGTCATTTCAAAAGCCAACCATAAAGGAACTTATAATGGGCCCAAGTGTAGTCAGTACTTTTATTAATAACTTGAGGTATAAAATATAGACTACAGAAATAAAACTAAAGATGTGAACAAGTTGAAACAGACAGCAAATATTCTGGAAACAGCTTCAGAATCCAAAATCATCTGTATAAAACTGGAGAGCAACCCAAAAATCAACAAGAAGAAAGGTAGTCATGGGGAACAGCAAAACATTAGATCTGGGAAAGGAAAATCATATGCTGGAATAGAAAAAGAAACAGAAGTGTCTGTGAAGATGTATAGTACAAAAAACATTTCAAATCTACAAAGAATTGTTAAATTGCTAATAGGCTGCAAAAATACACCTTGGAATGAATTCTGTGCAACAATGAGGGTGTAGATGCTTGCTTTGTACACTGTGCTGAAAGCACAATTGCAATACTGCCTCCATTTTGAATAATACAATTTAAGAATAAAGACAAGAATGAGGGAGTCCAGAAGAAAAGTGACAAAAATGAGAAAGGTTTTGGGGAAATATTACTTAAGGAAGAAAAGTTGAAGAGCTCACTGACTCTAAATCACAATTAAGGAAGGAAACAATAAGAAATCTTCTGACATAGATAGGCACTGAAGAGTTTGATTTCCAGTACAAATTTTCTTATATACCAGTAATAAAAACTATCTAACCATAGAAGTTAAATATTGGAAGTCTAAGATTTTTGTAAATTTCCTCTTTGTATTTTTCTGAATATTTTCAGAAAGCGTTATGAAAACTACTACCAGAAATGTTTTATATACACTTCTGCCTCAGAAAAGAAGGAGCTTATGGAAATGCTCATAGTCTCTTCCTAATCTACGCTTCTGCTGTTTCCACAACACGTGTTTCAATACTTTTTGAACAAAAGAAAGTAAGAGCAAAGCACAGATACAACAATAATCATAGTTTGTGTAAGCTGAATCAGAAAACAAACCTTTAGTATATAGAAGAGCAGGCAGTTCTAAGTCCATGTTACTAATTCAAAGTTTTATTCAGACTACTGAGAATCATTCTACATCTGATCATACACTGATTTGCAAAATATCCAGGAGTCTGTGAGGTTTCTACTAAGAACACCAGGGTAGCTATTGTTATTTTGAGTAGCCTCTGAAAAGCTGCATAGTTGTGTGCCTACAATGTTGTGACTGCAGAGTCGCAGCCTTAACAGCACAAGAAGATGAAGAGATGAACACTTAGATGATGAACCTAAGGCTTCTTTTTCAGACTGTCAGCAGTAGGAGAAGAATTTGACTAACACAGTTATTAATCTTCACAGATGGAGATCTAAGAGTAGAATGCATTTTCAGATAACTGACTCCCCTGAAGCTCAGCTGGGGCAAGTATGCAACGTAACACAGGGCACTGAGCCTCTGTGGAAGAGATAAGGAATAGACTCATAGCTTGGGTAACAACAGCAGCACTCAGATTTGCTAGAGATATACAAAGCTATAAACCTAAGCTCCATGAAACTTATCTGCTAGGAAACTATAAAGACAATTATGTCTCGACTAGTCACTGAGATGATACGGCAGAACTGTAATGCATATCCTGAACGTAACCTAAACCGTAACACAGGTGAACTCTGTACTGCTGTGAAGCAGATGGTATCAGAGAGATGATTCTCCAGAGAGACCAGCGGATAAACTGCCCCTGAAGAGTGAGGCTGTCAGACTTCAAGAGCTGTGGAGACATCATTCTCCCCACAATGAAGACATACCCATCCCTCTCCCAGAAGAAGGAAAGGGACACAGATATCCCAAAGAGACACTGGAAATCTATTCCTTTTTAATCTTTGTTTAATACCATTACATACAGTACTCCAACTCTGCAGTTTGGGGGCAGGATTACTCAGCATTCTGAAAGGTCAGGCATGCACACATGCCTCCTGTTCCTATATACAAACCCTCACAGTCAGACAGGGTATTAGGACATGTAGAATGTTCCTTTTCTCCTCCCAGCTACACTGCCAGAACTGAAGTTGCCACAGAATAAGCAGTAATGTTCTGAACCATCTGAATTTAAAACACCTTTTTCAAAAGCAGAATGGAGAGTGTTATGCTTTTCGAGCTGAAAATGAACATGAAAATTAAAATTATCTCAGGACATCCCTTCCCTTCCCTTTCTTGCATTAGGAGATATTACCAGCTCAAGTGAAGAACAGATAAACAGGCCAATGAAAACTGCTGTTGGTTTTCCAGCAAAAAAATTTAAGGTGCAATGAATTTATTTTTCTGTAACATTCCTCAGGCATGTGTTTCCCGTATTTTACTTTTTTTTTCTTTCAGTAAAAATCTATTAAATGACCACATATATAGACACTATCCAAAGACACAAGGAACTAAGATGTGCTCTTCAGATTACAGATTCCCATTCCAATCCCATATGCAGGACCCTGTAACTCTGGGGACTGGGAAGGAGGAACAAAACACTAAATAATTTAAGAAACAATAAAGAAGAGTGGTAATTATCTTCTTTGAAGTTCTCTATTTGATGAATGTGCTTAGGCTTTAAGCATCACAGCAGTTGTTCCCAGTTTAATGCTTAGCTCAATGTTTTCTACTTCACTTCCATACTGTAAAGAAGAGCTCAAGTACCTTGGATTATTTCTGTTTTTCCAAATAATGTGGACTAATAAAAGATAACCATACCTCCTTCATAAATAATCTTGGCCTTAATCAAACTCAAAAGTGCCCATCTAGTACAGAAAATTCCTGAGCTGAACAACAGGTTAGCATGGGAGAGCATAAGGTTTCTGCTCTTACTCATATTTACACCTTCTTCTATTATCCACTGTCAGAGAAAGGACTATCAACCTCTGGTCTGACACATAATGTCTTTTATTATCTCTACAAACAAGTTTGAACTAACATGGTGGATGACAGTTTTTATAGTGATGAAGAAAAACATGAATAAAATACATACAAAGTTTTACTTTACAGTCTCTATATATACATATATATATAGCTATTAATGTAGAAGCTCTTTTTTGTATGACTTACCGTGCAGGACCAGACGGTTCCTCTCTTGCTGAGCTTAACACAGTTTTAATTATGAGCTCCTAAAACAAAGATGAAAATACTCACTGATTTGCCACATGAAATCTCTGTCACATGAAATCTTAGGAAATTAGAATTTTATTATAGCACACACAGGCACATAGCTTAGCTGAGTCTCTAGAGTTATGGTCAGACAAACTGCTTGCTTGCTTCTACTCCAAGCTTCTCATCTGTTCCAAATGCTCATTATTGTGCTACCCCAAGAATATTTGACAGGTTACTGTTCTAATTTCTGCTAATTAACTCTTCATCCAACATATTCTCATAATATATCACAGGGAGAAAAAAATCAAACAAAACAGACAAACAAAAAAAAATATCTCCCTTAAAGCTAGCTTCTGTGAATAGCCATGAAGGGTATTACACAACGTATCTACTGGTCACTTTGAGGTAGGTATTAAACATTCATATTCTTCACAATCAAAATTATATTAATTAAAGAAGTCTTTGGAAATATCTGCAGAAGAAATGATTACAGTGCCTTAAGAACAATGTCGGGAAGAATTCTGACTCAACTGTCCCTCTCAGTGAAGCTCAAGTAAACAATCAGTATGTTTATAAGTATAAAGTTTTACAAGATTTTTTGTAGTCTTAAGCCTTATAATCTATTTGAAATGACTCATGAAAAAATTTAGAATCTTAAAATTGTAGTTAATATTTCATGGAACATCATCATATTAAAAATATACTTGGTGGTTGAATACTATCCACATATAATTAATTTCCTACCTTAACATCTGTAAACTGAGACACAGCAATGTCCGGAATGTTTGGGTGAAGAGCTGGTAGTTCGTGATATAAATTGGGAAAACAGACAAGAGATCCTAAAAGAACTTGTGCTTCAACTCTTGGTGCCTAAAAGAAAAAAAAAAAACACACACACAAAAAAGAGGAGTATTCTTACTGCAATCTGGAAGATGACATTTCTAGCTGCCTTAATAAAGAACAGTGACTGAAACTCTGCACAGCTATCTCCTTTCTCCTTCTGCAAATTCTGCAAAGCTGAGTAAACTGAGTAAATCCATAGCTCCATGGATTGCTACTCATGCACACTCCCTGTTCCAATTTTCCAAGCTGGCCGAAGGGAAGTTGAGGAATTGTTAGGACTACAAATGACTGAGCGGCTAACTAGGCTTGGGTCTTAGGTTAAGCTAACTGAACTGGATGTGGAAAATCACTGGATGTGACATGAGACTGCTGGATGTGACAGATAATGGTGTAAGAAGATGACAAAGGTCAGCTTTGATAGTGTCTTAAGGGAAGCTAAATTTCATAGGTGATTTAAAGGGAGAATGATTTGAGAAACAGCCAAAAGTTGCTGACAACTGGAGGGGAGTACTGTCGACCTTTGAGAGAGTACAGTCATGCAAGGTCAATAAAACCTAGGTAAACATATCAGTATCACCATACAAGGCTGAAGATGCCTAGGTAACAATATCAGAGAGACATCTGAAAAGGCTAACACTATCAGATACATGAGTTCTTGAGCCAGAGTATGAAAGCCATTTCAGTGTGTATATAGATACAGATATACTGTATATATGTGTGTATATTAAATATAGAAATATATCTATATATGCATACACACCCAGTATACAAATATATCTATATACCCATATATACGTACTTCTAAAATGAAGTTACAGTCTAAATGGACATTTATTTTAAAACATTTTAAAGCAGTCATAAATTCCTAGGGCTCCCAAATTACTGTTTCAACAGTAATTTTTGTATTCTTTGCATTAAATTTTCTGTAGAGGACTTGCATGTGTAGTGTTCTAGAGTGAAGCACTGACAGTACCTGTATTTTATAACTGTTACACTGATGTCTGGAGACAAATGAACCCCCTACCCAAGGAAAAATATTGCTCAGTTTTCTCTCATATCCTTCCTATTTGCCCATAAATGAGAATGATCTGATGAGCACTTACATTGAGAAAAGAAGAGGCTGCCACTCTTCCTGCTGCCACAATGAAATCCATAATAAGCATGGTGGCACCAGGCAAACCAAGTGAAAAGAACTGAGGAGAGCAGTGCTTGATGATTGTATTGACAATATCCTTGCAAGAGGAAGAAGGAAAAAAGGAAAAGAAGAATGTCAAGAAGATGAACACTGAATGAAAAAGGCAGGTATTTACTGAAGTTTGAGAGTAAAAAAGCATGCAAATTCATTGGAGCAATTATGACACTCTAAATTCTCATTACTGAGGAAGGCGTAGCAGTAAAAAGATATATTCCTCATGTATATTCATATTAATACAAGTAAACTGTGGTATACTTTATGGATTAACTTCCTAGATTTAACTTTGGACGCTATTGCACCAGCTTAGCACCCGGTCCCATCTTATATCCACTTACATTAAAACAGTTTAATAGATGACTAACAATTCATTTAAATATCTACAGAGGAGAGATAGTGAGATAACCACTTCTTATATAGAATCATAGGATGGCTGGATAGGAAGGGACCTTGGAGATCATCTAGCTCCAACCCCACTGCCATGGGCAAGGATACTACTCACTACATCAAGTTGCTCATACATTCTTAACAACATGTTTAAATCCCCTCCAACAAGTGTCACCTGACTATAACTTCTAGAAAGGTATTAAGCTCTTACCTATATCCTTTATGGAACCATAAAAGAATTATAATAAAGTGTTTTATAACATACCTGGTATATAGTTATTCAACACAGTATATTACGTGATTGTAGACTTAGTGAAGCAGTTTTTAAAATAACGTACATGATGCATTCCCTTCCAAAGTATTAGAAAAAGTATAAAATATAATCAGTATTAAAAAGCATCCCAAGATTAGGCAAAAAGGAAACCCTTTTCCCCCTCCACATAATTTTCCAATAACAATGGTATCCAACCAGATGGCAATATGTTATATGAAGATTTTCAATCCAGTAACAAAAGTAGAGTAAAGTAGTTGTTAGAGGACAGAGATAGGAGATCCGTCCTATCTATAGCTGTCTGCGGAATAATTTTAAAGTAGTTCTGGTTAGCCCAGCTAAAAAGCCAGGGCTGTTTGAACCTTTGTTCTCCCCATACCTTCAAGTGCTCATCTAAAAAGGTCACAAAAACAACTTTTTCCCACCTCTGATGCACCCTCTAAAAAGAGCGTGTAAACCATACAGTATTTTCAGACTTTTTCATATTAAATCTTATAAAGATTTACTCCCACGATTAAATATACTTAGTATGTCTCATTTTGCTGGTTCCTATACCTGCTGTAGAAATAAACTATTCCAGACATACAGTGAGCACAATTTACTTTTCCACTAGCTGAACTGTTACATCAGGGAGCAAGTAAGAAGAAGAGCAGACATTAGAGAGATCTACTTCCTTCATTCTTGTATGCTTCAATCTGTACCATACAATCAGTAAAAAAAGAAAGAGTACCCTTTCTGCCCTCTTATTTGCTTGAAATGGACTACAAAAAAAAGCATTCCTGATTACAACCAAGAACATGTGGGCCAGTTATCAAAGCTTGTAAAAAGTATCAGTCACATAACTGTTTTTAAAGACAAAGTTAAATTACTCAGCTAAAATCCATTCAGTATTCCCAACAAAACAACTTAATTGTTAGCTCTATTTATTTTAACTTCAATATCATAATTAAACTTACCTGATCAACATGAAGAAGTCCACAGTGCATTATATTGTAGAAATGAGTTAAAAAATCCTTGTTTGGAGATACATCTTGTCTTCGCTTCATTGTCTTACAAATGAGCTTATAAGCATGTAGCTTGCCTTGTTTGTATTTATCAGTCAGCATTGTTGCCTACAGTTTTAGAAAAATGTTTATTATTCATAGAAGACAAAAGTAAGCTACACACATTACACAATTTTTTACTTCTGTTTCACTGCTCAGTGTTCAAATTTACCTTGAACAGCCAAGGTGTTAGAATTCTTAGTGGTGGAATTAAAACTGGTGGAGATGGTGAAGTTAGATTATCTGTTGAAATACCAAGATTGTCTCTGATCTGCAATCATAAAAAACAAAACAAAAAGATAAAAACATTTAAGGGAAATATATATAGTGATGGTTTTTCCCTCTGAAAATCCTGACCAATCAGGTCAGCTTGGAGAAGATGTTCTGTTCTTTTACCTTGGCCAGATTCTGCCACAGTTCACAGAGGTAATCAAAAACCTGGGCATGAATTTCTGGATCCATGATGCTATTGACATCCCCCAAAATTCCTAGCATCCGCCTCCACATCACAGTAGCAACATCTGCATGCCATCCTGTAAGTGTTCCCCCAGCCATCACACTGCAACATTCTGAGGGAAATTCACTAGTTTCTGTAATGGAAGAAAAAAGTACAGTGAGACCTACTTCAGAGAAAGAAAAGTTCTGCTATAACTATTACATACAGTTTTCTTAAAACCAAAGGGAAAAAGGCTTTTAGAGCAAGATATTTCTTACCCATTAAGCCATCTCAAAAATGTTTAACTACATGTATAAATCTACTTTCAAACTCTCTAAAAGAATAGTTCTGTTTCTTATATTCATTCCATAAGTAATAATCTAGGTCACTGCTGCAGCCCTAATACTAATCTGATGGACCTCACTGGGCCAATACGTTTGTAAGAAGTTTCTTAATTTCTTATTTTGGACTCAATGAATCTCCAGAACTCCACTTGCCTCCCTCCAAGAATAGCTACATTTCAACTTTATATTTTTTTCCAATAAAACAGAAAGATGATTTTCCTTAGAATCTACTATCCATGTATTTTACTTGCAAATTGACGAGTAAGATTGGAGTAAACAGTTTTCTCTGGCTAATGTTCTTTAAGTGGTAAATTTGTATGACTGAGAGGCAACGTTCAGTAACCTACCATCATGCAGTCTTACCCTCAACCAGTTCTCTCTACACATCGGTACACATTATCTCTACACATTATATGAATGAACAGTCTTTTTAGGTGGAAGGTCTGTTCATTTCAGTTCATCTGTACAAAGAAAAATGATAGATTACAATGGCTCGCTCTTGATGTGGCTACACAAACACACCACACCAGCTGAAGAGCCATAGTTTTAAAGCTGCAGGTATCCAGATTTTTCCTCCTGTTCCTCTCACACTTATTTTCAAAACACCTCAGCACCAGAACCTGCTGAGATCTTCTGAAAATCTTGCAGCTCCCACAGGTGTACAAAATGAAAATGACACCTGAATTCTGCCTGATCACATAGCTTCTTCTTTTGAAGATCTGGACCACTGTGGTAGAGACACTAATGGTTTCTGGGTTGTAGATTTCAAAGTATAAAGCAAAATGATGGCATTTTTGTCCATCAGTAGGCTACTTAAAAGAAAAAGGTCTGATATATGCATCAGACCTTCTGTTTCCATGAGATGAAATATGGGAGAAATGGGAACTTTGTACATTACAAAACATATTCTAGAATTTGATAACTAAAGTAATTATATATTTTATAAACAATAAAGGGAAAACAACAGATATTCCAAGAAGAAATTAAAACACTGCTTAAAAATCGTGTCTTATTACTTGTACATTAATGATAGAACTGTCCATGGGAGGACCACATAGCAAGTTAAGTTGGCACAACTCTACGTATCAAAAAGAACAATTATTAATGTGTGGACCAGTAATCTACTGCAAATAGTTCCAATGAAATGCAAGACAAAATGCAAAAAGGGTTTTGTTTGCTTTTAAAGAAAATAACTGCAATTAAATATTTTTAAAAGTGTAAATGAAATAGACTTGTACAGGATTGTCTACAGCTAATGGGGTACTAGCTACTTTACTACATTGTACTGGAAAGGAAAAAAAAGAACAGGTTTATAGTTTCTATTCCAGATACTGCCTAGGTCATCTGGCGTCTGTAAAACAGAGTGGTGGAGCTTCTCATCCAGCTGCAGATCCTTCTGCTCAATATGATCTGCATGAAGAGTGGCAGGAGAGGGTGTCTGTGATCGGGATCCAAGAGCAGATTGGATTGGAGAAGCACTTTCAGAGCCTGCAAATGCAATTTTTAACAGTTACCTTAAAAGCCTTTTCTATTTTCTTGAGCTGAAATGTTGACTAAGCATAGCATTAAAATAAACTGAACTACTTTAATATACCAAATCTGTTAAAAAAAAAAAAAAAAGAGAGAAAGAAAAGTTATAAAAACTCTAAGCAGATCTCCCTGTGAATGGTGCTCCAAAAGACAACGAATTACATGCAGGAAAGCTGAGAGATGAACATCAAAATCAGATAGTCAAATGGATTAACAGAGCTCCATTTTAAGTCCGAAATATTTTAAATGCATTTATTCTGGAGCACTTTCAGTGCTCTGAATCAGGCAAATTTCTCTGCACATTCCTTCATCTAAATCTCTCTCCAGCAAATTATTTAAGCAGAAATTTTGCTGGAACAACTATTTTTTTCCAGGTTTATGGATGCATACATGTTAATTTATAAATAAAAGTTCATACCAGGAACTGATATTCTTTGATGTTTATCTGCTGATTAGAAAATCCATGTGGAGGGAATGTTCTATGTAGTGCGAGGAATGTTATTTCCTCTAAGACATAATAAGACAAGTTTGGCAGTGTTGCAAAGGCATCTTGCCATGATCACCACTGGGCAACCTCTCTAGGCAACTACTTGATCTCTACTTAGATATCTACAGAGGGGGAGGGAGCTGATACTTGTGTTTTTCTTCTGCACTATCTTCTGCTAAACAAGTTTAATTGGACTTTAGGGATAGCAAATCAAAAATGAGGCTCTTAAGAGTATTTTCCCCAAATTATTGGGCTGTCAATGTACTTTCTTCTGAAGAAAATTACATTGTTTAAAGAACTTGACAGAAAATGTGAAGTGTTATCAGAACAGAAATTGTGGTAAATGAACTTAAATTGTTAAACTGCAAAGGTTTCTATCTGTTTTAAATGACAAAGGTAATGCAACTTTTACCATGTTTAAAGCAACACCTCTATGCAGGAGAGATGGACATACATATAAATGTCATTAATTTCTGTAAATGACAAACTGTGGTGGTGCCTTTCCTTTTCCACTACTCCTTCACACACACACGACTGTTTAACTCAACAGTTAAATTATATTCTCCACTCACTTACTGGTCCCTTGTTTTCCACATACACACAAAGATAATATAAAATACACATTTAAAGATGTTCAAAGAAATCTTTTCCTACTTCTCCATTCTGCTCACTAAGAGGGACTGAGATGGGTGCAGAGAAAAAGCAATGGGGTGGGGAGAGAAGAAGAGAGGGAAAGAGGGAAACAGACTTTCATATAATGGAAAATAATGGACAGACAATTATGGAAAAATTACTGAACTACTGGAGTAATCTAAGAAGCACTAGAAGATACCTCAGCATATATGGATTCAAATTTGACAGCGAATACTATGGGTTTAACTTGTTCCAAGGCTAGTAAACAGCAGTCTATAGTAAACTCAGTCATTTGCTAAGAATGTGAAATAATGCCTATATGCCAAGAAGAAATTTTCTTTCCCCAAACCCTCAAATGTGTTTAGAAACAAGTAGGTTTCTGAGCAGCAGAGCTATTGAAAACTGGCTTCCTATGAATGTGCTTTGAAGTTCAGTTTCTGCATAGTTTTTCTGGTATCTAATAAAGAGAATTCACATTGCAGTCTTCCTGTTATAGGACTCTTCTTCATACATGTGTTTTTCACTATACAGCTGCCTATCTTTCACAAAAATTAAAAAACAAACAAACAAACAAAAAAACTTCTGTTTTCTTTTAATATGTCAATTTAGCAGAAATTAGACAATGGGTTCCAACACTGTTGGGGGCATGGAACAGTCAGACAGAGACAGACAGTAAAAGTGCACAAGTCTCTCGGGAAACCTTGCATTTAACTGATACAAATGACACACAAAAGCTGCCTCTCTAAAACAGTGGTCCAAACAACAAGAAAAGACAGCCACGGAACTTCCTCAATGGACTACTCCATCATTAATTGCAATCTTAACAATTATAGTGCAAACTTAGACAAAAACACCAAACAGTAATGAAATTATTAACACAGAAACAAACAGAAAACATTTTCTGCAAGGACTCTCAACCAACACACAGCAAAGAGAAAAGTGAAGAGAATAAAAGTCAAGCTGATCACTGCTGAACAAGCTAAACAACAACTCTGAAAAAGCTAATTTCATGCTTTTTCAGCAGAAAGGCAATTTCAGAATATGAAAATAGTTGCAAGGAATGATGGTCTTTTCAGTATCTCTGAAAATGCAGGTTTGATTTGTCAGAGAACAGGACACTGTAGGTAGGTGTAAGCTTTCACAGACAAATCAGTACTTGTTTCTAGCATTGTGGTAGGCATGGTAGCACTTAACGGTTATGGAACAAGGAGTATAAAAATGACTATGGATGTCTTCAAGTCTCATTCATGAAATATGTTGAGAGACCTTTCTTCCAAATACTTCTGAGAGAGGGAGATTCTCTCTTTCAGAAAGCAGCCCATTCAATTTGGGTTAACTGTATCACTTGATGGTTGTTAATCTAATTGTTAATCCTCTCTCTTTCTCAAGAAATAGTTGCAAAATAAATTGGCGGAGTCTCAAGTTTGACTGAGGTTGTGAAACACTAGTTTGGTTCATTACAGGCTTACTTCTATGAAAAAACAGGGAAAATCCTAAAAGAAAAAGAATTAAGTTACACAAATGGAAGCTGATCTTACATGTTACAGTAACATTCTGCACATTGAAAGTTCCAAGTTTAACAATAGACAATATGGAGAGAGGTTAAGATGGGTGTACACAAAAGAATCACGTAAGACTTCTGTGCACTGGTTTGAAAGCACTTGCAAAGCCTTTCAAGGAAAAATAACTTACTCAAAACTAGCTATTTGGCAACCAGTAATATAAGGACACTGGTAAGATCTAGCTTACACTTTGTGGTACATTTTCTCTCTGATAATTACATAGATTATGTCATGAAGTGTTTAAAACACATTTAACACCAAGAAATGGATTATGTATGTAGCTAAGTCAAACAAAATATTTCCACTTGTTATTTCACACATTAGTGTTCTATTGCAATCAAACAGTAACTGAATTCCAAGAATTGCTTTATACAGAATATAGATTCATCACAGAACCTGAACCTGGTATTCTTCAGGATGGGTGGAAAAATTCTGAAACAAATTATTATTTTTTTAAACTACTTTACCAGTAATAGTTGCAGCTTCAGCAGACAATGGTTGCTGATTGAGACTACTTGTTTCCGAATCTATGTGGAGTGTAGTTAGACTGGCTACTTCTTGCTCCTCAGCACTCTGTTGTTGTCCTGAAATTGCATCAACATCAGTGGAAGCTGGCGTCCCTGCCTCGGTGCCAAAGCTGAAATCTGTATGAGGGAAGTGTTGTATTAACTGACAATTTAAAAATACCACTAATATAAAATACAAAAGCCTAGCACCTCCAAAATCTTCCATGTAAAACTTGTATGTACATCTCCTATGCTTCCAACACACTGTTGCACAATTTACATAAGATGTAAAAGCAGAAAGTAATTGGCTATTATGGACATTCTCATTTCTGTCACAAAACTGTGACTGAACTTCTGGAGAAGACATTCCTATTGCATGTCCTGTATTCTGCTTAGTCGCTGTAAGCGTACCTAAATGAGAATAAAGTAAAAATAATGGAAACATACATTAAGAAGTTTATATGCAAAATCTGTAAAATGAAAGAAATAGCCAAGTTTTTCATTAAAGTACTAACTTCAAACTACAAATATTACAGCAAATGACATTCTGGCTAATGTTTTTTTCAACACTTAAGACAAAGTATCATGCTCAAATGTAGTCAAATAACATAACTCAGTTACATAACATCTATATATATATAAAAATTGCAATTTCATCAATAAATACTTCTGCCATACAAACATTATTTCTCCCTTTCGTAATACATGAAAACATAATTCCAAGCAACTACAATAACTCCTTCATATGAGTAAGAGTGGGAACAGATGCATGAAATGAATAAAAAGCATACTAAGTTATTAGAATAGCATACTAATTTTATGATATTACGATTAGTATCTCGATTAATCTACAGTTATAAAAAGACCACTGTAAAAATATCAGATGGCCTTCTTTACCTTTTACCTAAATTTTTCAAAAGAATTGAAATAAATTCTGAAGTAAGCAGTCTTTCATTTTTACATTTTGTGTGTAAAACACAGATACACTCCAGAGAAAAGACAATAAATATTGCTTTCTAACTTCTGTGCACTGTTGTTCAGCTTTTGTACAGCAATGTTTCTGTACTGTTTTATTCATGTACTATAAAAACGATTCTCTCAAGAATCCTGCTTGCTCCATTAACTTACTAGTGACTTCTGTGGTGAATCAAAATAAGCTCTTTTTACAGAAGACTGCTGGCATATAACTTAAAAAAGAAAACTCGGAAAAGGAAATTCACGAGCAGTCAACCAAAAATGCTCCTACTTTGAAAAAGTATACTTGCTTTCAAATTTGCGGCCATCATACTGAAAAGCACTGAACGAGTCAGAGTGGCTATCTGAACTGATGAGGTCACTGCTGCCTGCACTAGCAGGCGATGTCCATTCGGATGGCACGCCTGGGTCGTCTATAGGACGCATTTGGTTCTGTTTGTTCAATACATCAGGAAGGTCTTTTGGAACTTCCAGGCTGCCAGGACTGCTTCCTCGTCTTGTCACATTCTAAACATTGAAGAGACAAAGTAGTTTACAACCTTGGATGGCTTATTTACATACAATGGAAAAAGCAAATGTCATTTGCAAATGTATATATATAATGTATATATATATATATATGTATATAATAATGTATAAAAATGTATATATGTATACGTATATATATAAATGTATATATATACACATTTATATATATATATATACACACGTGTATATATATATATACACACGTGTATATATATACATATATATAAATGTATATATAACAAACAGTTGACAAATACCTAAACCAAAAATTGTCATCATCCTACATAGTCAAGACTTCCTAAAACCCCAGACAGCAGAAAATGAAGAACCTATGTAGTCACACAATTTCATACATATAAATTGTATTTGCACAACAGATGTTTGGGTACATATTTTAAAAGACAAGGATTCAGACTAAAATGAGCTACACTTATATAAGACTTTAGAAAAGAATAGTAAAGAAGTGCATTGTCTCCAAATTATTCTAAATTACTAAACAAGACTTGTTAACCTTTGTTTCAGGCACAAGCAGAAAAAAGATTTCAAGAAGTATGGTGTTTTCTGGCTTATAGACTATGATGCTATAATCAAAAATTTCATGTACACCACAAGCAAATGAATTTTCTAATACACATCTAATTTTCTTACGATTAAGCCAAAACTTAGTATTGACTTAAGGCAAAAAAAGTATATACAAGAAATAATGCATACAGATTTGCTCATGTAAAAGTAAGCTGTTCTACTCAAGTCTTTTCTTTAAGTCACTATTCATGGATTGGAAAGGACTGTGGAAAGTGGGACTGTTTGTTTGAGAAGGAGCAAAGATAAATGTAGAAATTTATGATCTTTTATGAAATGGCTTGAAATCTTTATGCATTGTAAACTAAGAGACTGAAGGTGACTTACATTAGTTCTAGTCACTTCTTTTCCCGTCACCATCTCACTACTAATTTGAGATTTACTCAGAATGACAAGTCTGACAAAATACAAGGATTTAGTGTTCAATAGATCCATAACCTAACAGTAATCTTAATAACTTGGTACTTTGTTTTAAAACAGAATATCCATTCTTGTGTGCTAGATTGCAAGATCAGTGACAGGCAAGTTTCATAACATTTACTCAAACTTACCTTGGCTGTTTTTTGCTACCTGAGGAAAGTATCAATTCTCTCACCTGAACTATTAATAATCAAAGTTCTTGACCAACTATGTGAGAAAATGAACAACACCCCCTCCTCTTTCTCTCTTTTTCTGTGGCCAGCTCTGATGACTTCTGTTTTACCGACTTGAAATATGTAAAAAATTATTAACTGCAAGTTAGCATTTTTATCTTGTAACGCAAGATGAAAAAAAGTTTCATAAACATAATTTCAATTAAAAAGTAAAAAAGCATACATTTGAACAAACTCTATAGGTCCTCTCTTTCCATAATTAAAGATGCTGATAAATTAATTTCTCCAATCACCTTGAAGAATCTGTCCCTTAATAGCAACAACTAAGATACTTGTTGCCAACTTTCTACAGTAGCTTGTCTTACAATGACCTTTTCCTTTAAAAAAAATAAAAAAATAAAAAAGTAGAAAAAAGAACAGAACAACTTTGAAACAATACATTTCAATTATCACCCATGCTGTTCTTCATTTGCAGCATTTCTCTGAATATTTTCCCATTCTTTGCTACTTAATAAAACACTCATGTCTTCAAATCACTTGTCGTATTTGGTAAGCATTCAAGTGTAACCTGAAATTCTTGACTTAAAATTGATTGAAATTTTTGATTATGAATGATAATCAAAACAACATGACATTACTGGAAAAGCATAGGAATAAAGCATATGAAAAATTGGTTCTATTAACAGAAAAGTACAATAAATTTTTCAACACTTTTAAGAAGGAAAAAAAAGTAAAAACATATGTTAATGTAGTTTTGTAGTCTTGCACTGGCTGGAACGGTAGGGAATAGTACCATACTACAGTACTCCAGTATTTGCATAAATACAGTATTACACTGCGGTCTGCAAATTTACATATAAACTATTATCCTGGAACTGCCTGTGTACAAAGATCTTTGCAGGTGCAATTAAAGTCATTTAATTCAATGAGACTATTCATCTAACATTTCTACCTTGTTTGAACAATAAAAATTTAATAAAAATGTAAACACGAATGCATAAAATACCACAAGTCTATTTCAAAATGATTTAAAGCCAAGGAATAATTTAGTGATATTCTGAATTCTGATTGATAAAAAACAGAGCAAGATAAACATCTTACTATGTAGTAAAGTGATTTAATAATGTCATTTATTAGTTCACACAAACGTGCAGATTACATATTGAAATATAGGAAGTTTAAAGGCTTACCAGTGCACTACCACTGCGGAGTCTCTCAGCTATAAATTCATCCATGAGGTCAGGAACATTTGTATTGCTGCTGCCAATATCACTATCAATAGGGTGCAGCTTTTGACTCATGTCCTCTCTATTAGCTAAAAGCAAATGAATAACTGTATATAGTAAAGAACAAACCAACACATTTTCAAAACAAAAGGCAACAATAAAGAAGCCCTGCTAATAAATAAATAAATAAAAAATCAAAATTGCCAAACATGCATTTTAAGAATTCCCTCTTTTTAAGCAGATTCTACTGTAGGAATTAGTAAAACAACTTCTTCCCACTAAGCAGGTGTTAGTCAATTTCCAGTAAAACCTTTAAGAGCAAGAAAGCTTATAGGAAAGCACTACTTAAAGTTGTTAATGCTTGCTTTAAGGATACAGCACATATTCTTCCTCCATATCACAAAAAATTAAGGCAATAAATCCTAACAATTGTATACGATTCCTACAGGCACCCCTTCTTCATTGCATTCTTAATGAAAAGCAATGTAGTGGAAAAACTAGATTGCAATATAAAATAATGACAAATGTCAATGTGGCACTGTATACACTTAGTATAAATGTGCAAATAAAAGTCTTATGTAATAAAACAGCATGCTACTATATGGAATGAAACTTCAATCTCTGGATGGTCAAATGGTGATGAACAATTAATTAAGTTCACTCAAGTATCAGTTCTATATTTTTGATATAATTATCCTTTTAATTTTTAGCAGTGGCTGTTAGACCTAACTCCATGATCTTAGCCTTTAAAGTTTTCAATTTTTTTCTGTTCTTTTTTTCTCTATACGAATTGTCCCCTCAGTGTCCTCTCTCATGGCTCCATGTTGAGGCTCTGCTTGACGTTACAGATTTTAAATAAAATGTTTTCCAGATATCTCTGTCAGAAAAGATCCTACAGAGAAACAGAAATCACTGAGAACAATTTTTTTTTTTTTTGGATAAATGCGACAATCACGCTACTTCCCACTTGTCATGGTGCTATGCTTTCACAGACTGCCCTCAGGTGGCATTAACATCTCAATGCAGGATGCGTTACAGAACCTCTGTTAATCATGCTAGCATAATAATGGGAAAAAAAGAAAACCTACATTACTGCTGAAAGTTAATTTATTGTTCATTTAAGGTTATTTAGGATGTGAACTAAGCCAATGGATATTAGAGCGACAGCCTTCTTTTTTGCTCAGTCCAGAGAGGTCTCACAGTTAGCAGGACTATCCTGAGACCTTCATGAACATCCATGAATGATTCCAAGGAAAAAAGAAGCAATGAAAGATGTTGCCAAGATGTAACTGTATCCATTTTGATGAATGCATACAGAAAGGCCTACAGAACGTTTTGAAAAGATTCAGACAAAACCTTATGACTATTCACAGAGAACTGTCACAACGAAATGATTCCAGTAACAGATTTCTGTCCACAATTTTTTTAAATGTTATCCAAACTGACCTCCAAATGTAAATTTGAGGGGCTTTTTTGTTTTGGAGGAGGAAAAGGAGGGGGCGAGGAAGAGGAGGAGAAAGAAAACACACTAAATGAACCAGAAATGTAGTCAGTTGAACATAGCTAGTTGATAGCCAGGTCCTTCTGACAAAAAAAGTACAGTTACAGGGGAGTAGTACACTCTGATACCATGTTCACATGCCAATCATTTGGTAGGCTGAATTTTGAGGCTCTGCATGGTAGATGGAAATTCAAAACTCTCAAGGTTTTGTCCTTTATTAGGTCATTTACTGTCTCTTCCTCTTCCCTAATGTGATGGTCTTCAGCAGCAAAGAGGTTCAACTAAATATCTTTAAAAAGGGAAATTAGTAATTTAAAGTATGTAAAAGTAACTTATGCTGGGAGAAAATCAGCTGGCTATAGGCGCATGCATAACCAAACAGGGAAAGCAGTGATCATCCCAAAGCCTTTTGATTGCTTATCAGAGCTTGCTTCAGTTGCATTAAGCCAAACTGGTGCTGCCTTTCTCCTTTTGCGCTCTGCACACTGTTAGTGCTCACCTGCAGCTTTCCTTCCAAAATAGCCCATTACATGACTGTACAGATCCCTCAGTGGAGCCTCTGCTGGCACTCTGTTCTGCCTCTGTGGGGAAACATTTGCCTTCGGCTTCGAAAGAGCATGTACAACAGTTTTATAAACACCACCCAGGGAACCCTGCTGTTGTGCTGACTCCTGACCTGACGACCTAAATGCACTACGGCTATGGAACTGGTTAACTGCAATACCTTCTTTTTGCAGCACGGCTGCTTGAGTTTCTGGAGTTTCCTTAATTTGCTTGCTACCAACTGAAGCAGCATTGATTGCATCTAGAGGTCTATATATTCCGGGTCTAACCAGCTCCATGACAGCTGATGAGCTGGTGCTTGTACTGGTACCGCTGTTGCTGCTACCACTACCACCACTACTGAAGCCACTGAGTTTACGAAGTCGTGCTTTCCAAGCAGCCTCTTTGTTCTCAAGAGGGTTGTAAAATTGAACTGATTCTGTAGATGGTCTAAAAGTTACATGAACACTATTTCTTTTTTTAGTTGTTATTTTCATGATTTTGGCCCTATGAGTTACTGTTTCAGATATACTCCGTTTAGTTGGTGACAGTTTGCTTGTACCTGTGATGTGAGGCATTTGAGGGTTAACTTGTGCTTTAGGAAGAATTTTCTTTGCATGCATAACACGTGAGTTGGTTATTTTTTCATTAAATTGGGTACTTCTATGCTTTTCAGCTAATGCTGCTTCCACAGCTGAATCTACATCAGCTTCAGTGGCTGCTTGCCTGTACAGATATCTCTTCCCTTCTTTGCTGCTAGGACTACTTGACCCATGATCAAACAGGTTTTCATATTGTTTATCAATATTCAACTGTCTGGCTTTATCGAGCACTTCATTTCTTGCAAAAATGTCTACTTGAGTAGGTGCAATATTACTTATAAAGCCACTTTGGTTTTGTTCTAGGTGCAGCTCTGTGTTATCAGCTCTTTCTGTAACAGTGATGCTATTCGTGCATTGAGCAGTCTGATCACTATTTTCTAATCCATCCAGTGGTAATCTATCATTCCTATTTACTGATGTATCACCTTCGTGAGCAGAAGCCTCACATTTATCTATCTCAAAGTTACCGCAAAGTTCTTCTTTTTCTTTAAGATATTCTCTCAGAGAGGAAAGAAGATCATCTTCACCTTCAAGGTCAACATATTGGCTTTGTTCAAAGGTTGTGTTTGCAAATTCTACCGGCCCTATTAAATGACAAAGATGGTCATAAATACTATCCCCAACTTCCAAGGAGGACTCTCTGCTATTTGTATCAGTAATATGGCTTTCAGTGGATCTATGCATTGAAGAGGTCTCAGTGGAACTCTGTAAGCTTGGAGCGTGATGGGATGAACTGTCAATGACAGGAACTGCACCTTTGGCTCGTTCAACTGCGAATGGTTCCAGGATGTCAGAGGTGCTGCTACTTCGTGGCAGCGGCTGTTCCTCATTTAATGCACCAAAAACTTCACTTGGAGCATCCTCACTCTGTGAAAAATGTCTGACTCGAGGTGGACGTGGAAGAATTTGAGCATCATCAATGTCTGTAGGAAAAAGGTATATGTAATACACACAAGCATTTACATACAGAGACCATATTTATTTACCACTACATCCTAATTATGAGATTTAAAAAGCCAGGAAAGTCCAGAGCCTTGTTTACTTAAGTACAATGAATACACTTTTTCCAGTACTAGAGTGTTAAAAACAAACACACATAATATCCAGTACAGAATGTAATATAAATGAGTTAGACCATCAGAACACAGTTTTAAATGTTAACATGCATGAGAACAAACAGTGAGACCATGGAACGTTTGGAAGTACAGTTAAAGCTAGGGCTGTGCCAATAAGTTCAATAATTCAACCAATATTATACCAACTAGCTTGAAGAAATGGTTAACTTGAATATAAATTAGCTTAACAATAGTAGCCTTCATAGAATTTACATCTTCAGAAGAATACACAACTCCAAAGAGAACATACAAGTTTTCTGGAAAATTAGAATTGCTTACTGAAGTGACTAACTACTACTTTTTCATAATTTGTGTGCATGTACATAAGTTACTGAAATAACAGAAACAATAGTATACAGGTACGAGTATTATGGCATATGTAATATAGTGTATACCTGAAGATTTAATTATTTTTTTAAGCTTTATGGAAGAACGGTCCCTGTAGGGAAAAGATTACTATAAATAACAGATTATTTAACAATATACTTTTTTTTCCTCTAAAAGGATGTTTTTTGAAACATCTCTCATCTTCAAAATGCAAAACTAAATGTTAAATGGAAGCTAACCTCCCCATCTTCTTACAGTTTTATTCAACATGAGTCCTAAGAATTACCAAATTAAGAACCCCACTACTGAAAAAATCCTGCAGCCACACAAAAGCTAACATTAGAGTAAAATCACTTTTACTTATGTAAAGACAAGAATATTTGTTATGACCATTTAAATTAGTGATTCCTGGTCTCTGTTGAGACAGCTAATACTCTACCATCAGCACACATCATAGTTAACTGTAATGAAAGCTGCAGTTCCAAGAGATCACCTAGGAAACGTACAGAAATATCTTCAATCCACTTCATATCATCCACCGAAATAAAGAACCTTCACATTCCTCATCACATTTCTTGATATGTCACAGGAATACTACATACTATAAAATCACTGATACAGCCAAGGCTAAGTATCTCTTCAACTAATTGCACAAATTCAAGCTATCCCTTGCTGTCTTTTTAAGGGACAGACACTTGAACATTAAGGTAAAACAACTTTGTCAGTTTTCTGTTAGTTCCTTTTCTCATAGAATCATTTATTCCCCAGATTTATTTTTTAAACAAACGGCTCAAAAAGTTGTAGATATGCTTTTAAAATCAAGAATAACAATGAAGAGTAACAGTTGCCACAATAAACAGACTTACCTTGCTCTATCTAGAGAGTTTATCTTCAGGACTGCAGTAACTGGATTTACTTGAACTCAGTACATCCTAAAATCCCCTCCCAATGTGTTATTGCCAAAACAAAGAAATTACATTGAATTCATTTTAAAATATTTCAAATTATTATTTCATGGTCTTTACACCTATTTCAATAATATTTAATTATGGTAATCAGAAGTCACCTTAAAAATGTCACCCGTTTTGAAGTGCTCACTTTTCTGAGAAAGAGCTGGAAAGGGATTTTGTCATATTTTCCTTCTGAGCAAAGCATATAACCTGGAGGAATCAGATATATCAGTGCTAACTAAGTGTATGTGTTGGAATATGATGAAAAGTGGTCATTTCCACGCTCAATTTTTCAGGGAAGTTATAATTTGAAAATTGGAGTTTGACCCGATTCAAAGTTTACTGAACTGTAAAGAAGCTATTGGACAGGAAATGGAGAAGTCTATACTGAGAAAGAGAGTATACATATAAGCTCTTCCAGAAAATAAACATAAACTGAAAACTGTTGTATACCGCAATATTTATTAACCATTTCCTTTCTCTTCTGCTTTCACCAGCAACAAATTTCTCTACAACATTCCTGTTCAACTTATTATTTGACTTTACAGACTAACATTCAATAAAATGGATGTTGCTCTGTAGATACAACTGCTATTTCAGTCTTCATTGACTTAGGCAAATATTAACATGGACCGTGCCTATAGACCCTCAAGAATTTCTTTTTGCAGCTGTAAGAAATTGGTCTTAATGAAAGCAGCAACTGAGGACCATAGGATGCAGCTAAAATATGCATGATAAGGTTACAGATGAGATTTATACATATATATTTATGATAAATTGATCTCATCCTGAGCCCTCAATATGCATCTTTCATATGTTTTATAAACTTCATTTTATATAAAGTACCAGCCTGAGGATTGCATGCATGCAGTGATTATGATTTCTAGGATGCTAAAAATTACTGGATGGAGAACTCCAAATGCACGCCAAGCAGCTCCACACATTGAAATAAATTCAGCTATATTTATTTCAATGTTGATCCAGTATTATTTATTAGGTGCTCATGTATGCAGGACTAGCACATACAAGTATACAAACATTTTCATACAATTGTGTAGTGCTTGTGCCAACAGAAATTTCCTTTTTGTAGAATAGAAGAAATTAAGGTAATGAAAAACTGCTATTGTATTATCAGCACCAAAAATACAATGTTTTAAAATCCAAATGAACAGCCTCCTTGGCAACCAGGTCTCACCCCTGCACACTGGTATACAGTCAAAACAGGACACTATCCTAAAGAGGTTTTACTAACTACATCATGAGTGTGCCACAGAGGGCTGCGTCTCTGACAGTGCACATACTTAGAAGAAATGCTGGCCTTGTTCCTAGGATGTTACAGTAAGGAAGACACTGAAATTGGTAGTTCTGGGTATTCTCATCCAATCACAACTTTCCTTAAACCAACCTTACCTCCCTTTTTCTGCTTGAAGGCAGAAAGAAAAGACAGCTTTTCAGTACCGGCTGGGAGACAGATATGCTAAAATACAAACACATTCTGGCATGGAATACAACTTTCAAAACACATTTCTTGATACTTCTTGGGTAACAAGAGGCAGGCAAGAAGAAAGTGGGAAAGCATAGAACATATCTTCCATATAAAAATGTACTGCCTGTAAGTCCTTCTATTTGTACAAAGTTTTGAGTGTGTGCATATGTATCCCACGGTGCTTTCACTTTTGTACTCATTGAGACAAAGGCATCATAAGATTGTCAGCCTTTACTAATTTCTATCTAAGTAGCAGCTGGAGTACAAGAAAAAACATTATCTATAAAATTTCATATGTGCCTTTTAAAAACCTGTGAAAACCCTAATTGTTTAATCTACTTGCTCAAAGGCTCTCCTCCAAAGAAAGCGACTATCAAAACTCCTAGCCAAGGAGTTTGCAGGGTCAAACATAGCATTATAGAAAACTAGAACTCTGTAAAGACAGATAATTTGGAAAACCAAACCAAACCATAGCACTTCAGAATCCCAAACTGTATTTAAGATTTTAAGGTTTTACATACCAATGAAAAACCGGGATTCTGTAAAGCATATTATATGATACCATATACTTAAGGAATTCTTTTTTCATGGGAGCTAAATTATATCATTATCATGGTTGGCCACACAACACCTATGACACTGAATTCAAAAATTTAAGTAGAAAGATATAACTGGCAAATAAAACTAAAATTTCTTCCTTTCCCTCCCTCATTAAGCACGAACAAAATCTTTACATTAGTTGCACTCTCTGACAGATATTGTATTACTGCTTACCAATAAATTGAAAAAGCAAGAGATTCCTCTCATTTTCATTTTTATGGTAGTAAACATTGGCACAGCACTAACTTCTAACAGTTCCAGAATGAATTGCGAAATAGCATGATATTACATAATTCAAAATATTCATTCTTAATCTCTTCCCCTCTCCCCCCATCCCATCCCCCAAGTATTTTTACTTTGCAAAATTTAATGATTTTGCAGAATTTGAAAGCAGAAGGTTTAAAAAGGTGATAAAGGGGGTGCAGAAATTAGCAGAGGTGGCACTACCTGAAAGCTCATCAGAAAGGGGAGTGAGAACAATATCAGGCAAGAAGGGTTTGGAAGTATGGATCAGAACAGGAGCACTTTTAGCACTGCGTATATAGGCCGATGGCAGAGCACATTCACCAATGGATCGGCTTCTCATGGCTTTAAAAAGGAAAAGAAAGAAGTGGGGAAGGAAAAAAGAAGAGTGACTATAATGAAAGGCTCGTGTCACAGAAAAAGCAGCAACAGAGAAAACAAAGATAAAAAGGAAGAAAATTTAAAAATTAAAACATTTCAGCACGGCAGATATTGGCAGAGCTGTAAGAAAGAAAAAATCAGTGGACACTGATAAGACATTTTGAGTTTTCAACTTTTATGTAAAGCAGCAACAATGCTTTTATTATGGCTATTACAGAGATTTTGCATTCAAAACCAAGAAACTAATTAACACTTTTTTTTCCTCCCGTTGCATCAGGGGTTGAAAAATCCAAGTTAAAGCACTCCACAAGCATTCTGAAATTTGTATTTTTTAACAGAAAAAAAAACCAACTTACACTACATTTCCATTTTTCTAGTTTACTTTGGTTTGCTCCTAAACAAGTACATCTGAATTTTGACCTATAGTCTTGAATTTAAGATTCTTCAAAAGAGATTCAAAATTGTAAGAAGGAAACAAGCAATTCTGTGTGGAAAAAAATGCAATACAACATTGTATAGTTCTGCATTAAAAATGAAATGACTGAAGTGAAATGGTTTGTCAACTAAAAGGGTTACATTCTTATCAACAGAACTTTAATGGATATTGGATAAATCTTTCTAAGCTGATCCTAATTCACCTTTTTGTTTCTCATGTCCTGCCAACAGTCCTACAGAAAGAAAATTTACAAAAGAATTGTGGCAACAGGATCAAGGTTATAACTGCAGTTTTTCCCATAGATTTAAAGTGAACCTTTATGACATTTGTTTTCAATTGTCATAGTAAGACATAGCAAGAATTGATATTACATTCAATTTCAAAGTACTATTACTGTTCTATTCATGGTTTCAAGCAGTTTCCTTTTCAAATTGTTTCAAATTTGAGAATTTATGCTAAAATAGTTGCTGATAAACTTCTCGTAAGGAAACTCCAGTTCATCCTACATATTGTTTGCACAATATTTAAGCAGTCTTTGAACTTCTATAAGCATATTTTCAAAACATGAAATGTACCCTTAGAATCTCAGTGCTCCTAATCTATATGGGAATCAGAAGAAAAGAATGAAGTACAGAAAAAGTTGAGCACATCACACTTATGTGATCTTGTTAAAGAATGGTCTCTAACACAGCAACATGAGGATAACTTGGGTAGGTCTATGTACATAGAGCAGAAAACACATTTGACGAATGCAGCACAACTTAGGTGGAATCTTAACAACAGTTTGAAAAAACAATTCAGAAAGACAGATGTTTTAAGACTGAAGCCATCCTCTATTTTAAATTAAATTTAGTTTAAAAGACAGAAACCAACTTCAAAAAAAAAAAAAGACAACTATATGCAAGGCTTTAACTTATTTTTAAGAGATGCAATATTAAAATTCAGAATACAGTCATGGTTAAATGCATTGCATTCATCATTATGCATTTTAAAATGAATGCACGCTTGAGAGAAATATCAAGCTACAGAGTAAATAAACCAAACTTTTGAGATTGGATACTATGTTGAATGCAAATCATTAAAAATAAGTGTCCCTTGTAATTTGACTGATTTTCTTCCACCATCTTATTTGATTCTAGAAAGAGGGAATAGAAAATCACATTTACTATTTGGAATACGGAAATTTTATAGAAAACTTTCAAATGAAAAATGTAAGATATTATTACTCAAAGCAAGATTAACATCGTGATGCTGTAAAATGAAAATGTGACCTCACTGCATAATTATTTTAAATAAGATATATCACGTTCAATTAAGTAGTCAAATAGAGTCAGACTTAACACAAGATGTGGACTAGATATGTCAGTTCAAAACCATCTGCTGTTCTCTACAGAAAAAAAAAAACACACATGGAACAGTAGACTCCTAAATTCCTTCAGACCTGGTATTTTTATAGGACGAGAATCTGCTGTCTACAAATTCTATATCTAGCCCTACAAAAGATTTTTCAACCCATATGCATTTAAAGGCCCTTTTCCAAAAATTACTTTACATAAGTTCAGGCTAAAAATGTACACACTGCATATCAGGAAAGCTGTGATTTTTATTTGAGTAAAACACATACACAGAAACTTGGTGCAGCAATAGACGTGCGCTGGCATGAGGATGGCTCAAAAAACAAAGGTGTGCAGATGTACACAAAATGTGTACAACATAAAACAAATGAAAAAGAAACCCCAGCTTTTTCTTACCATAACATATTCAACATGCACATCCTACCTACTCAGATATAAAGAGTATATTACTCACAATCAAAGGAAATATACTACATATCAGGTATCATGCAACACATCTGAGGTGTGACTTAATTCTAGGCTTTGCTTGCGGCATTAATTAACTGAAGCAGACAAACTAGCAAAATGCTATACAGAAAATTTTACTTATTATGACTATAAACCATTTTTGGTTATGTGACCCCATTTTAACTGGCACAGGTTAAGAAGCACCTGAGCAGCTCTCTTAGAAGACGGGAGACAATAACAAGCAATTCTTTGCTGACAGTTAAGATGTATGCTTTTCTAACATGATGTGATACTTCATCAACATCTTCTTAAAAGATGTTGATGAAGAACTGAAGAGTTTGGGATTCTGGCTCTGGCAACTTTCTGAGGGCTTTTCATCTTTTAAAATTATCCTACTAATGCTAATGCTTGTCTATGGATGGTGTTCTATAAAATGAATAGAGATGAATTTTAACTGGTTACAGTAATATAAACCTCGCTAATTAATATCAAATATAAGGCAAAAAAGAACCAAATGAAGGAAGCTGAAGTGGAGTGAAACTAAAATCAGATTATTTTGCTGCTAACCAAGTCAATATATAGCTTGATTAGTATAAACAGTGATTTTAGGGCTAACATAATATAAATAGCCATCTTTCAAAAAACAGCAAAACAAAACCATTAAAAATTGATCACGCAGTATAATCTTCTGACATCTGAAATAATAATTTGAGAGGGATAAATTTTAACATAAGCTTTACCTTGTTAAGACAATTAAGACTTAAAGCAAAAACACTGCAACAGTTAATCACAGCCTATCTGAAGAGAAGCAGAAGTTACATTTAAAGTATCTGCAATCCATAAGGAAAACTTTTGAGTCAAACTAGCTGTCAGCATGAGATAAAGGAAATGCTGTGTAGCATTTGGATACACAAAACTAGCATTTTTGTAGTAGTGCTTACAGAACAAACAACTCTCCCACCCCAACAGAAGGCGTCAGATGCTACTCGTAAACAGAACTTAAAAATTTATTAAAAATTTTGAAGAATATTCAAATAATTTTCTTTCCTAAATAACCTCTGTGACTTCAAAAAATAAATGTGAAGATTTTTGGAATGCTAACAGAGATGTTAATCTCTGAAAAGCTAACACTATTACATATTTGATTACCATTCCTGAGTTCTAGAACTGTGTCAGATTGTACCTACTTCCAAGAAGTACCAGTGCAAAAACACTTCATGACTGAAGCCACTACTACTACAGAGATAGTGAAAAAGCACAAGATACTCCTTAATAGGTTCTTCTTTTAAATGAAAAAGTAAAATCAGCTTAAACTTCCTTCACATAATGGATAGCACCGAGATCATCAAGATGAGAAAACAAAGTAAAGAAATTTGCAGTCCAGTTCATGTTAAGATATGGTAAGCAAATCATAAAAATGTAAATGAGTCTTCTTTTGAGCAATCCATCTAAACCATTGACTACCATCAGTCATTTCTAACAGAGGAAAGAGTATCTGCAAGTAATGAAATTGAGAAATAGGTCACTTCAGAAATGGAGAACTGCACGGCTGTGCTAATCTCTCATTAACACAAAATTCAGGGTATAGTAAAAGAGCACATTTTATGAACTATGCAGACATGTACATAATTCTTACACTTTTCTTTCTACAGTTAGAAAATATTCAACCTATTGTGTGCATAATTTATGAAAACAGACTTTAAAAGCCACCTATCCATACCTTTGATCAAATCAATTTTTTTTCTTTTCCATAGACACACAACAGTATTATTTGTCTAATGCATCTTATGCATGTGATCAAACATTAAAAATTACACAATACTTAACTACATTACTCTCATTTGCAGTAATTGTAATTGTAGTAACAACAAGCTATTCAACTACCCTGAAAACACGTAAAACTACATCATTTATACTTATATTCAACTAATTATTGCAGAGTATACTTCTGTAGAAAAAAAAAGTTAACCATGTAGCTACAATGTCAGTTATGAATTCCTTCCCTTTCTCAAACGTCACTTTTATCAGCTTTTACAGATACGTACCAACTGTTTTCTGCCGTACTATGCTTCTTGCTTTTTCTGTTCCTGGAGATCCAGTGGTTGTAGCACTGCGTTGTCTCATTGGTGCCTGTCCAGGCTGATCACGGCTCCAGCCTCTAGAAAAGGACTTATCAACAGAAGATTTGGGGAATTCATGCCCAACTCCTGCAAAAATAGAATTGCAAATCTATTCACTACTATGCTGATATCACCAAACAGTGACAGTTGTATTCTTTCAGAGAGATTTAAAGTTGGATAGAATAAATTACCAAAGCTAGCATGATTTTAAAAGCTAAACAGCACATTACTATATTTAAGTGTCTCTATAAATCCACTCAGCTAGCATTAACTGGATACTGAACTTTTTGTCAGAAGCACTGGTGCTATTGTGATTTTCTTTTCTGACCAATTAAGTTCAAAAACACAAGAAAACTGGTTTTACAAAGACTGTAGACAAATAAAATGTGTAACTATATACATTTTACCTCTATCTCAACCTTTGCTGTTCCTGTTAGACAAAACACACAAAATCATACATTACATACCATTAATGCTGCAGTTGTTTGCCAAATAACTTTGTGAAACTTGAGGAACATGAAGTGAAAATGATAAAATACTTTACCATCAAATGCAAATGCAAGTAAAAGGGAATTTAGGCTCAAAGAACAAGGCTTTTTGGAAATTCACCCTAAAAATACTATAAGAAAAGATGTAACAAATTCAGAATTGCCATTTATATCAAAGTCAATAAAGCTCACATGAGGAATTTTCAAGAAACTGTATGTAAAAAAGCCCAGTGAACTAAAGAATATTTGCAGTGTATTTCCTTACCCACACTGAACTGACTCATGATCACAAATTACACTTTATAACAGTTATGATCATTAAAAGGGCATCTTCTTGGAAAGGAAGCCTTAATAGAGCATGTTCATTATTATTAAAGAATTTATGCCAAAGAATTTATGCCAAAGAATTTGGGCATAATCTGTATGGGATTTATTACTTCCAAAACCCACTAGAGTTAACTCTTCAACTCACATTTAATAATGGAGGCTCTGGAATTCTACTGCTGAAAGCTAACAGAAACTCTTCTCTTGTGCTCTGCATGGGTGATACAGATGAATCAAAATATTTTTAAAGCACATGCACATTGCACATTGATTATTTCTCACTGACAAACCCTAGGGAAGTAGTAAGTACCTTCCCTTAGGTTCGGTTCTCCCTCAGCAATACGTGATGAACAACATCCATCAGAACACAGAGAGATTAAAAAGTAGACTAAAAACTATACTTTTTTCCATCTTGACTACTCATCTTAAATACAGTTCGGGTTCTCAAAGCCCTTTTTAAAGAATAGTATTATCACCCATATTATACAGAAGACTAAACCAAGACAGAAGTGATTGCTCGTGGTGACATGCAGGAAGTCAGTTTCTAATATGGGAATAGAATCCAGCCTTTGCCAGTCTCAATTCAGCACTCTACATAGGAGGACAGATTTCCTGTCTCAACAACATCAGAACCGTAACAATACAAGTAGCCACCCTCTCTTCCTAAGTTTTGTCCTACAGAGTATTTCCTGCATCATATTGACATCAGTTTAAAAACTGGTACCATTCACATGGTACTAGTATCATTTCACTTAGTCAAAGTAAGTCACTTTAACAAAACCAGCCTTCACCATGGTTTAGCAGTGAGTTACTGCTCAAACAAAACTATGTTCACCTAACATTTCACCTTTAATCAACATTCATGGGATTCCAGAATTCATATTCCAATTATGCTTGCAATAGGCACTTGCTACTTAACTAATTTTTACCACACATGTAATCCTCATTAATTTAAAAATGTTTTGACTGGGACTCAATTTGTATTTGATAAAAATGGAAAGGCTTAACACATTGTAGTGTAAAAATTTAGGTTTAAATCTACATACCTTTAGGAATTAAATTCCATATGTGCCTATTTGCAGGACTGAACCTTTATGGTAGGATTTCACAGTGGTTCTAAAAACCAGCCTTATTGTAAAGAAACTGGGCTATTTCAGGTGACAGTTATGTCTAATTAGCTACTCTGAAAAGACTGGACAAAAACTCTGTTGTACCCAACATCTCATTAGCACCGCTCAAACTCTTAAAATTGTATACAATGTTGTCTTACCTTTGCCTTTGTGTTTTTTCTGCTTCTGCTCACTTAATTTATCCAATGGCAGGTCACTGAGGTCCAGGCTATAGAGGTTTCTAGCTAATACTTTAGTTAGTGTCTCCATTGTCAATGACCACTCAGTGGCCAGCTCTTCCCAGTATGTCAGCGATGACATTACAGACAGCAAGTCATCCCAAAGTTCTCGAGAGATGTACACATTTAGATTTGCTTTGATCCAAGCTACTATAAGTGTCTAAAATAATAAAAGGAGAAATGTTGGCTTACCAACAAAAGATAACAACATTCAAATATTACTGCTTAAAAAGAAGTTTCTAACTGCCACAAACATTTTTGTGTAGTCCTAATATTCACTTCCTTGCCAGTACACAGACTTTCCATGAATAATGAAGTATTATGTTAACATGTGCTTCTGACTTAGAGGAACAACTGGATTGGCTTGTGTAAGATGTTTCCATACGTTACAAATTTTGTTAAACAGTTCTGTAGCACTGTCCTTGACTAGTTCTCATCACATTATTATATTTTCTATCTTTTTTTCCCTACTAAAGAATCTGAAGACTTTACAGATCCTAGGACAAACCAGTCAACAGCAGCTGTTGTTTCTAGTTTCTTGGTCAAAATTAAACTGAATTAATTAAAGTGAATTTATGTTTAATTGCCTGGAAAAGAGGTCCTGCAAGCCTTCCTGCTAAGGTGGAGTTTTTTCTTCCTTGATACTGCAAGAAAGTTTGGGGTGGTATTTTCAGCACAGATTCAGTAACCCTGAGCAGCACGAGTAGCATCTGTTCCCTGCAAAACAATATTAAACTTAGAGTTACTATTTTACTATAATTCTGTATATACCAAGATACTTTTAAAGATGACTGCGCTTGATTTGCCTAAACACACTGTAAACAGCCTAACTTTTTTCTTGTACTCCCATCCCTTCCTTCCACACAACTTTCACAGTGAGGAACCCCTACTGCCCTGTAACATCATGTGCAAGGTTGTTCAAGGGTCATCACTTACAATGGCCTGAAATTGCAGGACAAAGGTTTAGTCATATTTCTGATCTGAGTTTATACTTTTTTTGTATGGATGACAAATTTTGGCAATATTACATGATCATAAACATACTTCATTAATTCTTTTGGGTGGCAAAGAAACTTTGTCATCACAGTCTACAGCCACTTCTTTAGTGACAAGAAACTGGAGAAGAAAATACTAATTTAGTGTGATCTGTTTTCTTTTATCACTCCCAAATTTCCCAGTGGCTAGTCTTGAACTGATTCCTTATTTCCTAACATGAGCAAACAAATTTTAAATGGCATGTAATGCCAGCTCTATTTACCAAGTGAGAGACTGAATGCATGTCAAGTTAAAATGGAATAAATCAGCCATTTGAAATCCCCTTGCTACTGATTCCTTACAATGGAGAATGGTGGCAATATACTACCTCATTAGAGACAGCTATTTAAAGAAGAGGGGGAAATAATGCGTATGACTTTGAAGGAGGGTCTCTTGTCCCTGCTATGAATCTTAAACACTGGAAAGGCCAAAACAGTTAAAACAGTAAATGGACTCTTGTAAAGAAGTGTCTAAAGCTGGAGTTAATTATAGATCAAGAACAACTCACATCTCGTTATAATAATTATCCAGGCTTATCTGAGGATTTGTGTTTATTTTTAAATAAGTCTGTGAAGCTTCCTATGTGACTTCATACTTAGCACTTTGACACATGAGCAAAACGTCCCGGAAAAATGTCATCAGTTGATCCTTGATAGTCTGTATACTCTAGCTTACTTCTTTTTTCATTGAGGGCTATGCTGACTCAAACAAGCTAGTGCTTATTATTGGCATTAACAGAGCAGCTCACCACTTCCCCTGTGGTAAGTCGTTCGTAATTTTAAAGCCCATGCATTTACTGATTTAGAGGAACAGATTCACATAGTTAATACCATTCTACTGTGTTTACTACCAAGAACCATCTCACATTTATCTTGTGAACTAATAATCTAAGATAAAAACATTAGCATTTTACCAAGTCTTCTTGTCCATAGTCACTTGGACTACCATGTGGCGGTAGATATTAAGAATGCGTTTACACATATCAGTGTGTTCATCCAGCAGAGTTTTAATTTCATTTGCTGGTTCAAGAAAGAATATGTTTGAAGAATTTATAATAAAAACCTGTAAGTAAAAAAAAAGTAGATGTAATGAGGTCGAAGCACTTTGATGTTTTCAACAGTTTAGCTGATAGTTACAAGGAAATACAACACTCATGATTAACAGAACGGGCTGCATATATACTCAGAAGTATGTACTTAAACACAAGTTAGCTTAATTTGATGATAACGCTACAGTAAAACCAATAAATTAAAAAAATTATCTATAAAACCTATTTGTATATCTTTGTTCTCCTAGATATATGCTACAAAAAATTACACATTTTTTTTGTATTTTAGTATGGTGGACAAAAATATTCCACTAAAGAAGTCCACTGCTTCTTTAAGCACAGAAGTTCCACTGTAAATGAACAACTGACTAGTATAACACACACTAAACTACTTGAAAGAGTCCTTGTACACTCTTTGTGCATCAGCATGACAAAGAGTGTAGTACACTCTGGGAATCTACAGTATTCATCCCATCATGATCAGCGTAGCTTACCAGAAATAGGAAACAGGATACCCTCTCCAAAGTGGTTGCCATCATACCCAGCAGCACAAATATGCATGTACTTTATAATAGCTCATGTGATGCTGCAAATCAGATATGGACTACCTCCTTGGTTCTATGAAATCACATACCAAAATCTTCATACAATTGACAAATGTCAAATACCCAGCAAGCTGATGTGAGGATGAATCCCAGGATGGTTCAAAGGGAGAAAAAAGGACAAGATTTCCAGGAAAAAATATGGCAGCCAAGTAACGTGTAGTGGCACTGGCTTCAGGAACTCTTGGCTTTTTGGTTCCTTTTACAGTGCAAAACTGTGTTCATTGGAAGCCCATACCCACCACTGCTACAGATCTACCACCACCACATGTAATACACTCTCATTAAACAAGACAAATAAGAGTTCTTGCAAGCTATTTGTAGCTCACAACCAAAATTACAGCCACCAAATTCACTTTTCTCATAGGTATATTTACATAATTTATGTAAGTTATTCTTCTATATGGAAAGAAAGCAGCAGAATTTTTTAATGGGTTTTAAAAGTTCCTGTAAGCTGCAGAAAATCTTATGGATGCTACTTAGCTGTCCTCTTCCAAGGTGCAGTGTACCAGGCATATAAAAGCTACTAGGATTAACTGTGCTGTCAAGTTTGAATGTTCACAAGTATTACTTCCTAGATATTTATGTTAGGAAGCCTGCCAGAGTACATGATAGAGTTAAGGGAATTCAAGCATATAAGCCTCTATTCAGAAAGACACTGTTTTCATAATATGCAGAAATGAATGAAAAACATAGTCAAAGCAATTCTTCATGCCATTGACCATCCTTTCTTTGCTCCTTGTGCAGTGCAATGATATTGTATTATGTCAGCATTATGCAGCAACAAGAAAAAAAATAAAAGCAAACATAAAACAACAACAACAACAAAACAAACAGATGCATACACTATTAGACTTTAAATAACTGCGTTCTTAACATAAGTTATTCTCAGTTTTTGTTTTTAATCTGGGTTAAAACATTATGGAGGTTGGGAAATGTATTTTTCTCAGAAGACAATAATTAATGGCGAGTCCATCTATTGTGAGGACAGAAAATAATTATGTCCTCTGGAGTGCTCTTTAATGTAATACCATTTAATGTGACAACATTCTTGGCATGAAAAAGGGTAACACACTGTATATTTTAAAAAAAAGATCTAGCAAAGAGTATTATGACAGTCTGGGTTTGGACTCTATCTGGCGAACAAGCCTTCTTAAGGTTGAACGATTTCAATGTTATTAAATATTAGCAAGTTTTCCACTGACTTCAGTAGACAGTGAATTAGGGCTTTCAGAATGAAAACAATGAAATCAAAGCAGACGTGGACACCTCAGAAGTTACAGGACCTATTACTAAAGTGCTCTTACATTTTAGGAATTTATTAGGAAATATTTATATCACAAGCAGCTCTAGATCTCCAATTTTTGTCTTTCTTAATCCACATGTTTATGAAATCATTGGTTCTACACTTGTAATCTCCCTGTACTGAGAGCTTTGGAGTTTAATGATTAAAAACTATTACTATGCAGTTACAAGTTACTTGCTTCAGCTAATGAACCCCTCCTTGAAGGGCCTAGAAATAAGCCTATGCAAGAATTAAACGGGAAGAAAACTTAAGATAGATGTCTTGGATTCTTCATTCACAGAAAATGGCAAATGTGGTTCTAGGTCCAGAAACCTCTCAAATTCAGACACTGTACTGGGATAGAACGTCTTGATTCTGTTTCCAGCTAAAGATACTTAATGGTCAAATGAACCTCTGTCTAGAAAAACTTCAACATGAAGAGTCTCTCAGACATTTACAGATGCGTGAACTTTAAAAATACATTGCAAATGAACAAAGACTTTTCATTCCTTTCCTAGAAGCACTTCATGCATATTCTATAGTCATGGTATGCAAAGATTATGAAGGTTAAATTGTTATGAAGTTTGAACTAAATAGTCATTTCAGTTACAAAGTTTATTTTTATATAGCAGTGTACAGCATTACAGGAAATCATTCAAGCTACACTAGAAACTTTGAATTCTAATTGGGATGGTAACCCATAATTCAAGTTCACACAATGGAGTAGTAAATAGTAGTAAATATCCACCTGTTTGGCTTAGAATAAATTTTCTTCTGGATAGAAGGCTACAGTCATATACACACCACAATGTAAGTTTGTGTCTGTACATATTATACATAAAATGCACATATTTTCTATGACCATAAATGCATTTCAAAGAACCTCAAATTATATACTTTTGATTATATCTAAAATAATTTACAGAATTTGGAGATGCTTTGAAGGGGCATGGGAATGCCTTTGTAAGAGCATTATGCTATATTCTACTCTTTTACATACTGATATCACACTTTTTACTATTAGGCTGAAAATTAGATAGCAAGTTCATTCCATACCTGCAATACTGACTGCACTCCAGCTCGTACATTTTGCTCTTCAGTATCAATTTCGGACAGTTTATGCAAAGTGTCTTGGTAACAGCCATTTCTTGCCCAGTTTGAATTTCTAACATGACTGGAGTTCATACCTTTTTCCTGAAAAATATTTTGTTCTTAAAATCCCATTGATTTGTTGACAGGTTGTTTTTGTTTTACGTTAAAGGACAAAGGATGTAATAGATAATACATATCACAGATGCATCTTAAAGGCAACATCATGTTTAAAAGTGTTTGTAGCAATTATTTTAAAGTATCTGGACAAAATAATTATGATTTTTTCTTACCCATTTATTTGTATATAATTTTTACATGGCTGAAAGTTGGCATACTGTATTAACCGTATCTTGGAAGTACTTTATAAATCTATATGATTTCTTTAAATTTAAATATCCACATAAATACCTACTGATAATGGAACAAATCGGTAGCATATACATGCAATTTTTAATTACCTTTGTTTCATTCCCCTCAACATGCTGTAAAATTCAACTTAACCACTTATAGTCTGTTGAGAAGGCCAATTGGTCTTGGCCTCAGTCTACTATGCAAAAGATGCACAAATAGTAACCAACAATATTTTACCTCTTCTCTTTCTTTTGCCTTCTCAGATGAATTATGGTCTACAACATTTTCATCGCAATCTACAGCTGTACACTGCATTATTTCTTCAGGTTCTTTCATAAATAATGGCTTATCTTCTTGCTGAATCCATTCCTGATAAACCTTTACCACTTTCCTCATGGCAGCGGCTTCACATATTGGCAACAGAAATGCCTGGGAGTAGAAACAGAAACAAACAAAAGCCCAGTTACATTACTTGAAATCAAGTTGGAACTAAACTACGTGGCTTCAAGCTATAATTAGAACTGAACAGTTTTAAGTACAAATTGTACTTATAAAGTCAAGAAGCATCAAGATAAGTACTAAACTAGTGCTCCGTAATGGCCATGTTCCAAGGCATAAGAGAAAAAACAAACAAACATACAAACTTACAACCATTGTAGGTTCTGAACAAGTAAATTATTCCTGAACCTAAATGTTAGCTCACTTCCTTTATCTGAAATCTGAAAGTGTGTACACAGGCAATGGAGAAAAAGTTTTAACAAAAAAACTTGTCAACAAAGTAAATTGAAAAGTTCACTGCCAAAGAGACAGATATGAGAATCTGTACAGGCAGTTCCCAGAACTGCTGAAATTAAAGCACAAACACTCATCAAAAGCATGCAAAAGAAGTGAGCAGAAGTTTCTACTACAGCACCTTTGATTCAGAGGACTTGGAAGAGTTCTAAATGACAAAATTTCAAGTGTCATACATTACTGGTAGGCATATATCTTATTTTTATCTAGATGAGATTCAGAACAGTAGCCTTAAACAGTAGCTTGACTCCCTGAAAAGATTTCAAAATTATTATTTTTAAAAATAATGCATTTGAGTCAGTGTGATGGCCAATTTCTGCCCTCTTCAGCAGGTTTTATGTACCTGCTGTACTGGTAACAAGTAGTCAGAGATCAGGAACTTTTAACATTAGTCAGGTTTCAACAAACTATAAATGCATTTACCAAAGACCACGATGACCTCACTGTATTAAAAAAAAAAAAAGGAAAAAAAAAAAAGAAAAAGAACAGATAAACTACATTAACACATAGTTTTATGGAGCCCATGGTGTGAATGTTGAAAACTCACTGACTCCTGTAAGTAGTGCCCACTTGACACAAACAATATGCTCTCTCTCCAGAAATGGATGTGGCATCTGAGTATCAAACTAAAAAGTGCGAAGAAAAAGAAGAAACCCATTAAAATGAAGTGTGAAGAAAAAAAAAAAGAAAGGGCTGTAAATAGATGTATCAATAATTTTGAATCCACATTCAATGCCTCAGGCTCTGTCAACCCAAGTGGCAGTCTAAATTTGGTAACTCTGCTATCTCGTTCAGTAATGCGTCCAAGTTCTTCAACACACAGGATGTGGTTAAGCTTCTGATGGATAAGTTTCAGTGGATATGCTTCTGACATTCACCGCAATCAAAAATAACCCTTTCCTCCAGAAATATTGGAGGTTTTGCATGTTTAGTTTTATGTTGTTTAAAGCAATTAGCATCTTGCACTTCAACTGAAAGTTAGCGTATTTTTCTTTAATTTTATTCAGAAAAACCTCTTCACCTTTTGTTCTGTTCTCAAGGGCATACAGAAAATCTACTTGGTTCCATTTTTCTGCTTTGAGCTCAAAGCTAAGTATCTTTGTATTATAGGAAAGACTCAGTATTCTGGCATATGTTCTTAGTTTAAATTTGTTTAGTAAAGTTTACATCTGAAAAACACTATTTTGAGTACATTTAGCTAACACTTGTGGTTGCAGTAAAGTCAAAAGCAGAATGCTACTTTCTGTAGCCATCTGTCTCACTCTCCTGATGAATGCTGTCAAGGTAAGGGCATTTGACTGCTCCTAAAACAGCTCTTGAACAGCTGCAGACTCCTACAGCAGGTTTATTTTTACTTTTGGTTATGAGCTCTAATAGCTACGGGGTTGATGCATGAAAAGATCAAACGTTATTGTCTATAGGGAATTATAAAGTCCAAGTTAAATGCTCTAAAGCCGGTTAGTAAAGAAATAGAATTAGAAAAATCAGGAATTGGAGATATTCTGATTAAAAGGGAAAAATTCTGATATATTTTCTAATGTTTTAATTTTAAAGGCAAGATGACAAAAAATGAACTCTCATATAATGCTCTGGTTAGCAAATACACTTGAAAAAACTCTGACACGGTATATAGTATAATAGTCAATATTCTTGCGTTCTAAAGCAGGTTCTTTACCTGTCGAAAAATCTCAGTTAGAAAATTAACATTACTTCTTTTAGAAGAAAAGACTTTGCGGACAATTTCAATATCAGTTAAATGTTCTTCATCAATACTGCAGAGGCTTGAAGAACTCGGTTCTCTCTCTGTTAGAGTGCTTGTATTAGAATGAGATTGTTCTGGCTCTGCATTTCTGTCCTGCTTATCAGTGCTGTCATTTTTGCTGTCTTCCCTTGAAGCCATGCTAGCAGCTGCTCTCTGAAACAAAAATTAAAGAGAATTTCCATAACACATTTTAGCAATACAATTTGAACATAAAATTTAAATTACATAAAAGAATTTAAAGGAGTACAAAGAATTAAAAAAAAGACAAGATTCAGCGCATTTCAAAGATTTTTACCTCTACTTGATTAAAACCCAAATGTTTAGAAAATTTATTTATTTTTTTAAAGTACAGCAAATCCTTCTAAACTGAATTCATATGCAGAAAAATTGTTTAGAAATTCCTTTTTCCAATTCTTCATCAGTTATAATTATCAGAGGGCTACATGCTGCTGAGAGTACAATCAAGACAAACACATGAAAAAAGAAAACCTTGCGTATATGATTTTACCTGTATATTCTTTGGCACATTTTCACCTTCCATCCCAGGAATATGAGGTCCTGCATGAGGTTTTGGCTCAAGCCAGAAAGACACCAACCACCGAATGACAATAACACGAGCCTTAATAAAAGGTTCCTTTGTGCAATATATTGCCTCATTGGTTTCAGCATCTTTCTTAACCATTGCGTAGTGTGGCTTTGGTCTCATCTGTGGTATATCTGTAAGGAAGTGCAACATTTTAAAATACATGCAGAGAGAAAACTGCGTGTAAGAAATCTGAAAACCATAACCAATACATGGTGAACGTTCAGAGATTCTGTTTTTTTAACATTTGCTGTTGTACGCATTATCCCAAAATTTGCCTGAATGGCTATGATACAGATAATCCCAAAGCAACAATTTATCTGCGACTCATTTTACAGACATTGAAGAACCATTGTAAATCACATCCTAATACCAAACCCACTGGGAAAACAGATGCAGTTCAGAAGCAATGCATTACATTTTCTAATGCAGCCCTAGGAATCTCTGTCTGCAGCAACCCATAGTTAAGCCACATAGAGATAAGGGTCATCAGTTGTTTACCGACATGGATGCTAACATCTAATTGTGCCTATAAGGCGATAGCTTTAATTCCAAACTGTATTTTAAAAGCAGCTGCAATAAGAAAAGACTCTTTTGGCTCTAAAATAGGTGAAAGATGAGTAATAGGACAGTGAAAAATTCTTCTCCAAGGCCACTTAAGTCTCACAGCTTCATCTAATGCCACATTTGCACCAGGCAATTTTGGTGGATTTCGCTGCCAGAGCAAGAGCACATACAACTTCATGTGATTCAGCTAAAACACAATTCTAACAGTATTAATTCCCATCCTAGATCGCAAGAAACACAATGAACAATGCCCAGTAGGATGACAATCCAGTTCTGAAGGAGCTGGGGTTATTTGGGATTTATAACCTACAACTTGCTTTTCTCCATCCCATGTTCTACACAATGGTTCTGAATAGCGTACACCTTCTGGTTTTCTACTCTTGAAGTGACAAAGATACTGACGGTACCAGTGATATTCCTGCATCTAATACAGAAAAAAACAGAGTGGCAGTTCTTGAAAACCCAACTTGGAAGACATCTGCAGTAAAAGTGTTACAAAAACACAGAGTGGGGAAAGGAGAATAGTTGTTTGATTTTTTTTTTTTTTTAAATGGTGCATAATCTACATTTCTGCAAGGACATACATCGACATCCCAGTGAAACTCCTGGCATGTATCAGCTACCTCAATACTGCAAAAGCCATTTCTGGATTTTGCAGCCCAATACAGAGTATAGAACATTGCTGTAATTATCATCAGTGTGCCAACTTTATTCCTGGTTCTTCAGCGTAGAAGGGCAAGTATGAGATCTGCTCCAATACAAGGATCTGATGAAAGTCTGTCCGAGGACTGAAGATGACATGTGCAGTCAGAACGTACCCTACTGCTGGCATTTCAGTATCACAGCTTTTATATGGGGATACATGCAACCTTCCCCTCCCTCACAAAAGCAAACAACAAAAACACAAAACAGAAGGCATAATGGTCCTGTTCAGATACGGAGAGAGACCGATTGTGCAGAGCAGTATTTCACCACTGTCCCAACTTTTCTACTGTATGCAGCTAAGTAGTGAGGTATGTTCCGTGGTTTTACAATCTTTGAGTAGGCCAGAAGGCAGTTCAAAAATAATTATGCTTGAGATCAAAGAAGACGCAAAGTAGTCACACTGTATAATATAAAGTTGTTTCCCGACTATATCTTCCTAATGCCAGGTCAACAGTTGAGTTTTTTGTGTTGTTTGAGGGGGATCCAGCACAATTTCTGCTGGGTTATGGTGTTACAGTTCAAAAGGACCAAAATCCTTTGCAGCAGCAAAGAAATAATTGCCTAGACAGTAGCTGATTGTCTTATGACAGTCACATACAGCTCAAAGTGTCTGAAGTGAACATAGCCTACTTGCCACCGTGCTGTAAAGGTTTCCCTGCTAACATCACACACGCACATCACACCAGCTAGCACCAGTGTAGAGGATATCCAGGCTGGTATATCTCAGCGTCATTTCAACACACACATACGAAAGGAGTGACAGTCTCATTCTGGTGCTGCTAACAGATGACTGTTTCCAGAACACACTTTAAAATAACATCAACTGCTTCTAATGGAAACATTATTTTAAGAGAAAAAAAGCAGAAAAACTATGTGACTCTTGCATACCAACCACGTAAAATTAAGTTACAAACTCACAGAATACTTTTAAACTGTTTACAAAGGTTTTATTTAATACAAACAAAAAAAAAAACAGTACATTGTTTTCATTCTGTGGAAGACAGCAGCTTAGGAAAAATATTAAAAAAAATAACATCTTACACAGCAGCATAAATAACAGCACAGTAAATAAAAATGAAGTGCCTGGTAGTGCCGTAAAAAAGATGCAAAAACCAGTTCTCTCTGGTATCTATTAGCATTCAGTAGGGTGTGAAGGCTGCAATACTGGCTTTGCAGTAACAGCACCTGGACAGTATTTTCAAAAGGACAACCAGGAGACATGCAGTAAACATGTCCTTGTAGTACACTGTCTCCTTCTGTAGTTTCATGGTATCTTCTCAGAACATCCTCTCTATACACATTTTCTATCAACTGTATTATGTGCTGCAGCTGCTTCTCAAATCTATCTTCCTTCAATTGTTTCTTGTATTTGCACATTTCTGTGAAGGCTCTAGGTGAGGGCACTGACCTAAAAACAAAGTAAAACAGAAGTTTACTAGATTGACTCAAATAACACAGGAGAAAATATTTCCTTTCCCCAATTTTCCATTTTTCCATTCTGCCCTGCCCCGCCAGGGAACTTTGGAAGACATACTCAGGGCAGAGAATGAAAAAGCTAGAAAAAAAACACAGTTGTAACAGTGGACACTTGCAGTTTTGACCATGCTTACTTTGTAAGTCAATAACAAGCTTAACAGAGCCATATGGCAGCCTACTTTTTTTGTTTACCTGTAAATGAAGGAGCTCTTCTAAATGACTTAGAAATGGAACAAATATGTACGTTACAATGATGGAAGTTAGAATTCCCCTGAAGTCTAACTATTGTAACCATAGCTCTTACTAAAGTTTCCAAAGAACATATTACTGAGTCTAAATATATGCTAAAAGACAATCAAAGCAAAACGAATCCATACTCCTGTACTGTACTGCTCTTCTAAGCCTGTGAGATTCATGAAGGAATTTGGAGGAGGCATACTGTTAGCTCCCTGTAACTGGAATGTCCATTACTGTAACTGATACGTGTATCTGTAAAGCTGCCTTAACAACAACAAATCTGCATCCAATATACCATCTCCAGCAAAGCCCCTGTATTAATGCTTGCTTAGTAAAACTACTGTTCTAATTTGTCTCGTGACTTTTCCTAAATTAAGTATTAGGTGAGTAGCATGAAAAAATTTGGTTTTCAGCAGCATGCTCTTTGTCCAGGTTTGCACTGCTTTCTGCCTGAAAGAGCTATCAATAACAGGCAGATACAGGACTGTTTTCAAATAGGGTGGGGAGAAGCATGCCAAAGAAGAATTTCAGAAAGGAGAAAATCCTATCCCACTTACCAATATTTCTGTTGCCTTCATTACTGTTCTTTTCCCCCAGATCCTCAGAATTGCCTCTGACTTTGCACAGTTTAAGGTACTGACAGTAGTTTTGGAGATCTGAGCCCATTTCTTCTTCTTCCCCATTGTCCAGAACAGTAGAAGTTTCTTGTTTATGGTTCACAGAAAGAAAGGACTACAGTAGCACTTCTGTGGAAGATTCCATCAAGACCTCCACGGAATGAAATTGTTTCCACATATGTTGTTCCAGGACCTCAAGTAGAAGTAGGTTTGCTTTCCCAGCATTGCTATCATTCTACTTGTATCCATTTCAACACTGAAACTCTTCAGTATCTTCACACAACTTTTCTTCTACAGTTATACATAACTGGATTTATATTGTTTCTTCTCCCTTAGATGAGAAGGTCCACTGTGTGGCTTTCCCAGGAGAACACCCAGCCCAGGTTTCTGAAATGCTCATCTCTGCAGAAGGCCATAATCCAAATACATGTACATGGACTGGCAGAAAGACAGACCTGTTCAACATTCTTCTGATAGCTTGATTTTAGAAGTTGGAATTGTGGCTGGAGAGATTGCTATTAATCCTTATGAGACACTGCATCAATATGCAAGAAGAACAGTGAGGTACCCAAATTATTCAGGCAACAAAATGGCAGCTGAAAGCCTGAACTGATGATATTGTTTCACAAACAAGAGTCTTCAATTCTGTTGGCTTACAAGAATTTGTGCATGGGTGCACGCAAATGTGAGACAGCAAAATCAGGATATGCAAACAACATCCTAGTTTAAAATGGGCTAAAATCCTCTAAACAAAACTAGTTAGGTTTGCTTAGAATTAAAGAATTCTCTTTATAAAGAATTGTGTCTTTATATGGAAAGACGCATTTTAGCATGATCAGCTTAGAGATGGTGTTAAAACCTCACTTCTTCCTCCTACTGCAAGCTCTTGACAAAAGACAGTTGATACAAAAATGTAACCAACTCTGCCCTGACTGAAGATTTGAGCAAGCATCGTATGATCCAAACACTGTGATTCTGTACAGATAAAGCCAACATCTCCCAAAGAACAACACACTAAACTTCTTATCTCAACAAAATTCTCTTCTGAGCATAACTTGCATCAACAACAGAGACTACATTAAAGAACCATTTTATAACATTTAATTTACCTGATTCAGGTTAATACAGTAAGATTGACTCAAACTAATGAAGTGTTCAGGTGCTTCCACAAATAGAGAATTGAGAACCACAGAACTGAAACCATAACATGTTCTTTCATACGGAACACTTTTGGAGAATATTCTTTACAGGCAATGTGACTCAATCAAAAAACCGCTTTGCCATACCCTTTGTTAGAGGAAATGTAATGATTTTATCAGCTATGTTAACACTTACCAAGTATAGGGTTATATAAGCTGGTCTCCTTACAGATGTTTGGGAAAATAGAAGGCAAGTAGTATTTCTTAAAATTTGAGAACAAAAATGAAAATCCCTTTTCCTGGTTTTCCTTGTTCTTCCATTCTAAACTCTTAACCTTGAAAGCAAAAGAAGAAAACAACTGTTGGATAAAGTAAACATCTAGAAGTAGAAGAGAAAGATAACTGATGAAATTGTTTCTCATTTATTTCTATGGAACAGTATCATATATATTTTAATAAACACTTTTTAAAAGGGTAGAGCAGAAATTAGCTGGTAAATTTCAATGAAGCAAAGACTGTTTCCATTGAAAAGGAACTTAAACACAACAAATATTGAAACCAACAAATCCATCTGCTTTTATGGCCATATTAGGTCAGTCAGGAAGTAAGGTCAAACTAATTGTTTGGTTTTAATAAAACAGTTTTCATATTTCAAAATATTCATAAGAAAAGGACAATTACCCATGCTACTCTGAACATTTGTTTTGACAATTTGTTTTAACACATTTTGACTTAACAATTGTCCTTGTATTCGTTACAATAGGTATTTGGATTCATCTCTGTTCAACATGAAACAACCCAATCTGTCAATTGCAATCAGAAGATACAACTTTAAAGTTGAATTATACAGATCTGCTTTTGGATCATGAGTGCTAAGCCCTCCTCATTACAAAATGTTTTCCGATTGAAAAGCATAAATTCTCAATAATAAACTCAATATCCAGTTTCTGGTTTTGTCCTGGAGAATGCATCTGCCTGCAGAGTTGTGTAAAGTCTACTACAAATAATTTAAAGGAAGTTTTCAGGAAAGCATCTTCCCCAAACACACCCTATTCCTTCCTCCAAGTCCACAGTTTTATTAATGATATATTTTCATGACAATAAGCCTGGAACACACATACATACACACATCCCAAAGAAGTCAACAGACTAACATGTAAAAACTAGTACCCTGAAGTCCTTTTAGCAGCATTAATACCAAAAAAGTAACTATTAACCTTGAAATTTTCAGTACTTCTAAAAAAAATTAGCAAAAGATGCTAGCATTCACACAGCAAATAAGTTCTGTGACACTTGTCTGAACAACATCTAAATTTAGATAAACTGCTACCAATTTACTAGAGAGAGGACAGTTGTCTTCAAGAATGTAAGAGGGTAATTTTAGTCAAAGTTAACAGTCATCGTTAAGCTACAGACCACAAGTATGATGGCCTCTATTCAAGCTGGGAGATGCTGGAAGCAACTAAATGAGGCTGCTAATTATTCCAGCACTGCAGGTTCACAGAGGAAGACAGATAAACAGAAGTCATGAAATGTTATATTCTATTTTGACAGCATCTGTGCCACTATCCAGCCACTTTAGCATAACCTATAAAAGCATGAAGAAGAACTTCTAGATACCTCTCCCATTGGGTTCTGCTGTACAAGTCTGACCCAAAAGGTCAGTGCCCTGGAACACCTACAGACTGTCATACAGCCAAGCTGTTTGCTGAGCATAACAGCAGAGCAGGCTTTGAAGCGGTGTGCTAACTGGCCAGAAAATTAATTATATACTAATAGCTTAGCCAAACAGCTTTCATTAGAAGCTCCTGCCATGCCCTGTCTTAGGCATCTGAAATACTGATGGAGATCATGGAAGTGTTAAAGTACAAAGGGGAAGACACAGTGCGAGGTAATAAGAGACACTCGAGTTTCTTGCTGTGGACTAGATACTTACTCAAGTCTTCATTTTCTGTCCACAGTTTAGTTCTACAACCTGCCTTCTAGGTAGCTTGGGACATGTAAGATCTTATTACCTAGTTTTCACAAAGCAATGCCACTCAATGAGTATTATCTCATCAGTGCAGTTACTTTCAAGCAGAGCTTAAGTCATAAGCTTTTGTCAGATCTGAAGCAATCCAAATATTTATTGCTTCCCACTGCTTCTATCTCAAAAAGGTTCACTTGCTCAGCTGTACCAGTAATCCCAACCTGTGTAGCATACTGTATTACACCTAGGTTTATAGATCTCCTAGAACTAAAGCTGCAGAAAGTACTGTTAAGATAGCTACAAGTCACTACTCGATTCTCACAAGATCTGGGCAGTAAATACCTCGTTGATCAGAAAAAGAAACAATCGCTTGCTGGAAAGCCATAACCTCCGTATCATACTCTCAACACACCCTAGAGTATTTCTAATAACTAGAACTTTCCAGTAGCTAAGAGTTTCCATTAGAGAATGGAGAAGATATACATATAATCTCATGTAACAGCATCAGTTCTGGAAAGAGATAGAAGAAAAATATGATGCTGAGCACAGACACACTGTCTGTCCCAGTTTTACAGATCACTGTGCCTGACAACCTATTTCCATTTGGTTTTGCCAGCTAGCCTGAGGAAAGAGGCCAGCAAAAGTTTGCTCGGACTTGTTAAAACACCCTTATCACAAAAATCCAGTACTTTCAGTTAGAAGTTTCCCCTTTTTTTTCTCCAGTTTGAAAAGCAAAATCCCTGAGCATCAAGAAGCCTACACAATAAGGAAGGGCCTAGTTGATCCTTTCACTGCTTGAAGACAACATGGTGAGGAGACAGAAATGCAAAGAGCTGGAATCTGCATTTCTTGCAATGACTGACAAGCATGTTCTTTTTCCCTCCCTGCTGCAATCTGATGCAGGACCCTGTGGTGAAAGGCCAGTTCACAAGCCAAATGAGGTTCTTCTAAGAGACTTGGATTTTTTATGAAGGACTTGGTGGTGTGGGGTAGGATGTTTAAACCGTTTTTATATATACTTGCCATATATGGAGTGCTAGCAGCAAATTTTTACCTTGTAATGAACAAACATATTAGTTATTTCATATTTATTTGTTTGAAAACATAGAACATACCTGAATTACAATGTATTTCAAAAGCGCTTCTAAGAAATAGCTTGTTAAATCTTCTTGTCCTTTATCGCCTGATTGTGGAGGAACAAGTGGAGTGATTTCCTCTATAGTCACTTGAGCTATTAAAAAAAAAGATCAGGTCTACATTTATGCCACTTCTTTCCATACATAAATATCTACCAAGTAACCAAAGTACATGTGTACAGACACACCTACAGGCAAAACAAACCACTCACACAAACCACTCACACATTAATGAAATTTAATAAGTTTGAGCTAAAGTAAGAAACTAGTTCTATACTGGTTTATATCTAAAAATACAGAAGATAAATTCTCCCTATGCAGAAATCCACCTGCTAAAACCAAATTTTTCCAAAAGGCTTTATCAATTTATTATTTGCATAAATTCCAGAAGAGAGAGTAATGTTTGTATTTTACAAAAACTAAACCTTTTTATCTTTCATTATTTTCTTTATTCAGCAATTCATCAGTTAATTTGCATAAAGTTTTAGCTTTATACTTCCTTTGTGTCTGAAGTGAAGCTAGATAAGTATTTTACTCTTGATCCTGCAGTTCGATATTTGCATTACACCCTTTGTACTCTGCAATTCTATGCTGCCTACATCCTGTTTAAATTTGTTCCTCCTTTCCCACTGTGGAGACATACACATGATAACTCCAAAACAGGGCTTAATCCAGCAACTTTTTACAAAAATCTGTAGAGCTGAAATTCAGCAGCTAGCATCGGCTTTTTTCAATAAACTTAATTAGCAATGAAGGAGACACTGTTTGCTTCTATAAGCAATGCTTGCATCAGCTCTAAAACACTGGGTGGAACCAGTGGAAAAATGCAACAGCGTTTTCTGCTCAGAAGAAAGAGTTGTTAGCTTCTTATTTGCATTTGTGTGAATGCACAGTTTGCACTTGATAACCAAATTCCAATTCATCAATAAGCCTGAAATCCTAATAACAGGTACACGTATCGAGTTCGGAAGCAAGGTTCCCCAAAGCTACAAGTGTCTGACACTGCTAGAGTGAACAAAGGAAAAATTGTCATAAAAAAAAAAAAAAAAAGAAAAATACTCTGATTACTCAATATTGATCACTCAATTATATTGGCATTAAAAAAAGTGTAACAAGCTTATCTCAGAATGCTGACACCTTTCCAATGGTGTAGGCCTTTCTGACCTCGTGTTTTGCAATTTAAAAAGGTGACATTTAGGGGGAAAACTCCTTCAGAGCCATAAGAATATTGCAGATTTAATTGCCTGGTCGTACACAGACACAGTGGGAAGATCAACTGTTTGGTTTCACATGTTGCCCTAACAATTGCTTATTGTCTTGAAAGCCATAGCAGAAACTGTTTTTTTCTAACCCTCTAGAATAAAGCCAAAGCAAGTGTAACAGTTCAGCATAAGCAGAACATGCCTATGAAAGTTTTCAGTAGATGCAACATCTGCTTGTAATTTTTAAAAATAAATTAAATCGGTCAATTTATTTTCACCCACCATGTGCTGAGCTACCATTGCCACATGTTTAAAGAAAAGCCAGCAAAAACAAAAAAGGACAGTGTCAATATTCAATAAGACCTCAAACAATCAAGAAACAGACTAATAGATCCATAATCTTCCTGGCTACAAACACTGCTTCAACTTTCCTGCTCTGTGCTTAGAATTCAATTATATGAAGAACTGAGTAATGTTATCAAATTACTTACTTTCTTGAACATTAAGAGGAGGGTTAATAAGATTATCTAGTGTTCGGGGACCATATTCAGATTGTGGTGATGAAAATCCAGGAATTAAGCAAGAAAACATCCATAATTGTTCTCTACTACAGTTGTTTTGAAGTGCTTGCAGCCACAGTAGAAAGAGACGTACGCCCTCTCGACGTATCTTAAAAAAGAAAATGGAACGAGTTAGTTTGGCCAAAAGCACTTTGACATGTCCTGGAAGCAGAAGAAGAAAGGGAAGGGTGGAAAATTTGAGTGTAGACAGACAGTATGGCCACCAGCAGAGTCAAGCTAGCACATCTGCAAGTCCTTGATAAAAATGCAAGGACAACCCTGGCATCTTGGCACTGCTGTTCGTCCCACAGAATCTTTCATAGGGCTTTCCCTGAAAGAAGAGGAAGAAAACCAACATGCATCTAGACATTTGCTTGAATACAGTAGTGCAAGATGCCATCTGAATTTTTCAGAAAATACAAATCCTTCATAAGATTTTTAAATATGTTTGTGATTTAAAACAGCAAAATGAGCTTTTTTTTTCCCCCCCAGCAGGACTCCTTCTACCCTTTTTCATTCCTTCTTCAAGGAAGGTGATGGAATCCTAGAGCAGTCCACTCCTCATTCTCACACTGGAAAATTTCAGCACCAACCAAGCCTGCAGATGGTTTACAGAGAAATAGCAACAAACGACTGTGCCACACCAAAACTACATGGGTAACTTTTGTCTCATGGTCAACTGTTATTACACTACCCATTAGTCTCTTTGACCTAAATAATCTTCCACTTTTAAGACAATCTCAGCTCTAAAGAACAGTTTCTTTGCCCCAACAACGAATGATAAAGGCTTACTTCTGCTGTAGTACAAAATCTTACAACCACTTGCACAAATTCTTAGATTGTCTACTCTATACAAGCACATTACTACTGTGAGTAGTTCTACTGAAGTAAGGATAATGATTAAAAGTCATTACTTTATGACACACAAGTCATGACCTCACTCCTATGATTTTACCATAAAATTAACCCTTATACTCTTACTTGTATTTTTAAACATTTTAGACAAAATTAATCAGTATATAACTTTTTCAAATACCTTTAATGAATTTCCAGTATGAAGAAGCTTCTTTAAAATCAACCCTGAAAAAAAAAAAAAACAACAAAATTTTGTTGTCGTTCTTTGTCAAGCAAGATGTCAGAGTTCTCGGTCAGACTTGATAATATCTTTTAAACAAGTCCTTGGCAATCTCCAGTTTAATCTTGGTGAACTTTTTATCTTCAGGCAATTCTCTCAATGCCAGAAGAAAAAAAAAAAAGATCACCTTTCATACTTTCCTTATAAGCCATAACATCTTTCCCAAAAGACTTTTTGGGAGGTATACATTAAACATGAATGGGTAACTAATATTATACTCATCAATGTTCTTTCTCAACAGCCCAACTTTCTTTGTACCTAGAAGAGCATCTTACTACACTGTTGATTTTTGTTGTTGTTTCATTCCACACATACACACCCTGCCTCTTTTTTTCCTCCCCCCTTATCTTGCTACTCTTTCAAGACTTTAATCCTTGTTAGGGCACTTAAAGGTTTATGAGAAAAGTAGTGCAAACTAAGAAAAGAGTAGTGTGAAACAGCTACTAATAAAAAACAAAATTAAAAAAGGAAAAAAGAAAATTAACTTACCAATACTGTGAAATTGCCATCTCTGATGAATCCTTTCTGGAAGGAGTTGCAAAATTTTCTACAAAAAAAATAAAAAAAATAAAAAATGGAACCTGCAGACCTACGTTACAGATATCACAAACAGAAGGCCAAGAAGCACTCTTACAAAGGCCACAGATCAGAAGCTGATGGGTTATTTTAGAAAGTTTCTGCACTGCTGTCTTTAAAAGCATTATTGTCCTTTCAAGATAATTCCCTTCCTAAAGTTAAGAAGCCCACAGGCTCTAATAGACTATTTAGCAAGTCCTGTAGACTTCAGATGTTACTGCAGTTTATATGGCTTCACTGCCTCTGCTGGATATTACTTCTTGCAGCACAGGGAGTATTCCCCATTCACAACAGGCTCTATTAGGCGAATTTCACCTTCACAGTGGCTTAAGCAAGGATGTTCAGCTGCAAACTTGTCTCTGTGGCACTGGCAAATATTTGCTTCACTCTTGTCAACAGCAAGGTAAAGAGCTCCAGCAAAATAACGATGGACAGAGGTGGGGCAATAATAATCTTAACACCTCTGCAGCCAGATTAGTGGAATACCATCTTTCAAATAGTAAGAAATAGAACAGAGACAAAGGCAGTTCAAAATCTATTACACAGTGCTTAAATATTTATGTCCGAAGCATGAACAGTTTGTAAACAAACTGATTTCCCAAAGGGATTAGTAGCCCTGTCCCTCTAAAGCCTGTACAATTGCTCCCAAAGCACAGGTCACCTAATACGCTTTTATGCAGGATCCAGGGAACAAATAAGCTAGCTCTCTTCAGGTTCACTCTCCTTTTAACAGCTAACCCCACAGTTTTAAGCACCAACGTACATTACTCAAAAAAAAAAAAAAAAAAAGCCTCTTGAATCTGTGTTCAACACTGCAATGAGCATTCAGCAGCTTTCAATTATCATAATCAAATTCATGATCAGAAACCTCAATCAAAAAATCACATTAAGTTATTTCTAAATTATGATCTCTGATCTGAAATGATCTGATTTTATTGAGTTAGAATCTAAACCATCTTAATGAAGTCAGGCTATGTTTTTGGTAAGGATATTGTGAAGTGTTATTTTCAAATCATAAAACATTCCAAGAATAAAAGGGACCTATAAAAACTCCCTCTGCAGCAGCAATCTAATTATGAGAACAAACTCAAGGACAACAAGCAATCAAAAAACAAAAGATCAAGAGTAATTAGAGATCACTTTTATAAGAATTTCAAAGTGTACGATACATGGAGAGTGGGAGAGGAACACCACCACAAAAACAAACTTGGGAACTATCCACAAATGTAGAAAACATGTTTCTTCCTTTAAGACACCTTCCTGAAACAGCACAAGTCAAATTCTTTTTCTTTTTACATTAACCACATACATTCAACGCTAAGCAAAAGGGAATGCAGTTAAGCATAAAGCATATTTCTATGTGACTACAGTATAGCTATACTGTTACATTCAACAGGACTAAATTCTAAGTCAAAAAAAATCAGGAATATTCAAATTATCTTACCTCAAAAATAAAAAGAATAGAATCTAATTCTTCTCTCTGAGACTTGTGACCTAGATGCAATTAAAAATAAATACAAGATACCAAAACAAGATTTAAGGAACACTGAAAGAGATCGTTAAATATATAAAACGAAGACATTCATTTCTACAATGTAAGAATTACTTTGTATTCATTCTGCAAATAACAAGCATAAGTATATTTTGATTTGTTATGATTTAAAACATGTACAGTTTATATAACTTTTTATTATAGCATCAGCAGCTAGCAGAGATTAAGTTAGCTTTGCTTCGCAAGATAGCGTGTTTCCGTAATTCTGCAGACCACCAGAAGCCTAATAACTTAATAATCTTCCTTTTGCAAAACTGAAAACAGCCAGAGAATGAACTCTCCTTCCTCAATCCACAGTGTGCATCTTTAGTTGCTCTGCCTTTATTTGCCATGTTAGCGTTTAAACATATTTCTGCATACCTAATGCAATTTGTGATCAGAGAAATGCAAAGACATAAAAAGGCATTCTATTTGAAATACCCACCTTTTTGTTTAAGACCTACTTCAATAGTCACAAAGTTTTCAAAGAACACATAATATATATGTGAGAAATGTACGTCGAAAAACTGTTTGAGATCAATTGATTCCGCATTGTCTGAAAAATAGAACAGAAGATCATTTTCATTTTTCTTCAGTCACCCACAATATAGTTTTATCCAATAGTAATAATAGGAGATATTTAAAACAAAAAGTAATTAATATTGCTAAAGAAGTCCTTGAAGTTTTCATTCTTTTAAACAGAAGCCAAATGAAATTCCACATGGCATGCCATAAGTGCCTTGCAAACTTCAAAATGGGGAACAGCATCTTGCATGACTGGAACACCTGCAAACCCCTGTGATGAACCAGAATTCCACCAAGACTACCACTGTACTTATGAACACTTGTGTGGAAATCCTCAAAGAAATACAGTCATTTATCTAGATTAATTTTAAACCCACATTCCAACTAATTCTTTCATACCAATACACTCACTGAACCACACTCCCTGCTCTGATATTTAACTGTGAAAAACTAGAAAAACTAGGTGGTAGAAGAACTGCATGGAAACACACAGGAACAGGGAGGCAGTTTAAATATTTTAAACAGTATTTACAGTGCTGCCAATTCAATTATATCACAAATCTTGCCACAACATTTTCTAATACACATTCAATTTCTGCAGTACCCCGGCATTCTTGCACTGTCTTTCACAGTCAGCGTGGTGGACCCAGAGTGCTCTTGGAGAAGATAGTGCTATATTAAAAACTAAGATCAACTCTTCAAGCTAGCACTAAACTTTGCAGTCCAGGTAGGTAAGCGTGTTCCCAACCATATACAGGACTACCAGACCTCCAGTGTTGCAGATCTCTTGCAGACTGTTCACAGATCAGCAGCTGAACCGCTAGTAGTTTAGAGTCTGCAGTATTACAGGACAACAAAAAACATTCCCCTCTTTAAACGAAACGGCCCATGATTTGCAGGAGGTCAGGGCAAGGAACTTTTAATCACAACAGTTCTTAATTTCTGGAGATTCCTAAACTCTTTAGGAAACAAACTAAAGGCTTGCCTAGATAACCAGCTCAACAGTGAATCTTCATTATCTGTATCACCATCACTGCAGTGACACTTTCACATGTATAACTGGCACTATGGAAAAGCCCTGTGTCTTCACAGAGCTCTGCTCTACAGGAATTTCAGAGGACACTCCATTTTAGTTTGTAATTATCTATTTAATACCACGTGGTGTCAGTTACCTCAGAAAAGAGATAAAGGAGCACTGCTAGACCTAGACCTACAGTATTACCACTGACAGCTGATTAGCACTGAAAGCACACCTCCAGAACAGCCACAGCTCAGAAGAGTAGGGTGCAAGTCAAAAGGTCCTTAACTTTGCAGCTTTTCTAGCAAATGAAATTCACTCTTTTCTTCCTAAGATCCCAAACAATAATATAAACAAAAGGAAGTTTTTGGAATTCAGTTAACCATGGAGTGTTTGCAATAAGTTCTATTGCTTCAGAATGCAAGGAAATAAAAATAGAGCATTTTGAATGGGAATTTTCTCCTGTCATTACCTGAAAATAACACATTTTCTGTTAATGCAGAAAATTGGCTTTCCTTTTAAAGAAGGGAAAACACGCTTCTTGGTCTGAAAGGGCACTGTTTGCCACCTAAAGTAAAGGACAGCTTCTGCTTACCATCAAACAACACACTTAGAGAACTACTAAGTTACTGATCCAGAAACTTGGGACTTAAGCACAGCTGGACTGAGAACCTCTGCAAGAAGGAGGAGTAGGAAGAAAAAAAAACAAACAGATACAGCACAGAAATAGCGACACAGATTCTGGAAGATTTTGGTCTGGAAGTCACCTAGCGTGGCCACCTGAGCAGATGGTTCCATTTCACTGCTGCCCCTGTGCTCAGCACAACCCACAGCTGCAACAGGCACAAAGAGATTACTGTTCTCCTTGATGACTTTACCAAAAACGCATCCCTTGCTCACCATTTGGATTTACCTGACTTCCAGCTATACACTGTTGTGCTTTTTTCCATTAAGAATCTGATCATTTTCGCCAATGAAAGTATTTCAAAAACTTTCAGTTCACCTTTATCCTTGTGTTCAACCAAAAGATACAGCTTTTCAATCCTCTCACCTTAAACCATTTTCTTCAACCCAAAGCCATTTATTTGTCTCTTCTCTATGCTCCCCTGAAGTATAACGAATCCTATGCAGAGAGGTAAAAACCATTTCCTCTACAAGAAGCTCGTGCATGCCCCTTTCACACAGCCCTGAACTGGGAATTTGCAGGAAGTTGCTTGTCTGCTTTGGCTCCTTTAATTTTCCTGCCTTCCTAGGAGAGATGTAGCCTTTTTGCATGAAGTACAATTACACAGAAACAGACTTGCCTCCTTAGCTTACAATTTATTTATTTTTAAACAAAAGAACTTTGTATCCTCTTACCACAGCTTCATGCAACTGACACAAACTAATGTGTTCCTTGTGTTCTTGGTACTCTTGCCCAGATGGAAAAGAAAAAGGACTCAAAAATAGATCTGGCACCACTTAGAATAGTTCAAAAAGTTTCCCAGAACAGGAGAGGGAAAAATGGGGCAATATATTTTACTGTACTCCAAGAACATAAAAAACAAACATTGAACTGTACAAAAATAGTTCCAATACACTAAAATTCAAATTTCCAGCATTATTTACAGAAGTTTTGCCAAGAAAACGTACTTTTCTTCACGTTTCCCAATAGCAATAAGCATGGAGTTTTGATTTGTGAACCCTCCTTACTACTTCTCTGTGACCTAAAAATTGGTACAAATTTGATCTCTACATTATCTATGTATTCATTTTCTTTATTTTATTTTATTTTTTTTAATAAAGGGAGAAAGTTATGTTTAAGCAGAAAGGGACACCATAAAACTTCTCTGTCCTTCCCTCCTCCCCCAAAGCTTTTATGAAAGCAGCATTTGTTTTTTCTAGGTCCAGCATAAAGCAAGTAAATTAGCATTTCCTATGGAAGTTGTAGAAACTATTCTGTTTACAAATTCAGTTCTATTTTGTTGCATGATACAGAGAAACAAACTAAAAATGGAAGACAACCTCTAAGGTAGCTGTACAAACCTCACCACAAGAGCAACTGAGTACCAGATCAACCAGAATTCGGGTTTCCAGTAAATCCATAGAAACTTGGAAGTTGTACTATTTCCCATCTTATAGACAAGAGCTGTAGCACTGGACTAAATGAAAACAAAATATCAGAACCAAATAACAACAAAAAACACTCCACCTCTCCTATCAACTTCTGTGCTTATATGCGACTATACTTTCAGGAATTTACTTTCATTTATTTTCAAGTGGCCAACTGCTCTTTCAGGAACTTGGTTTTAGGTATTTTCAAATGGCCAACTCTTTTGAAGGTTAATTGTTGAAGCTTTCCAAAAGGTTACATTCTTTTCAAGTACCTCAGTAAACTATGCAGATCCCTGTGTCTGGAGAGGCTGACCATTTTAGGAAGAGCAGTTCTAGGCTTAATTCTGCTGCACAACTCTGCTGTACTCTGCTGTAAATGTGTTTTTGCTCAAAGGTTTTAATTATGGTTCAATTATCAGTATCTCCCTTTTTAAGAAGGAATAATTGTTATCCACGGAAGTAATTCAGGATTTTAATAAAAAATCCTTTACATCAAACATTTGAATAACGATATGATCTGGATGGTACATGTAGAATTCAGTACTTCGGCATTCTAAGTCCAAGTACCATCTCAGAGAGCTTAAGTGAAAAAAACAAAAAACACACAAACCACCATTTTGTCAGATGTAAAACACAAAAAGCAGAGATTTTTATTGTATATTTAAACTTGTACAGGCTCACCTGAGTAAGATTCTTTCATTCTGGAAAACTGTTTACATGTGTAATACCCCAATCCTCTGCAGGAGGACAACCTCAGTGAGCTTTAATACAACCCTCCTTCCCTATTTTGTTTCCTACGTATTATATTATAGATGATTATAAACTAATCTGCAATATCTGTTGCATATTTATGAATGAGTTGAGTAAGCAAAGGAATACTATGTAGATGATTGCACCTCTGTATGAAATTAAAATCTTACAAAGATAAAGCAGGTAAACCTGATTTTTTTGCACAGGACAGAACTTCAGTGGTAAACAATCAACCTACTGACCTTATAACAACCACAACAAAAAACCACGCACAGATCTTAGAAATGCCTTAACTTTTCCAAAAGAAAACATGAACATTCACCAGCTTACACAAAGCATCACAGAAATTTACTGTAGCAGCTAACAGAACAGTCTACCAGTATGCAAAATGAACCACAATTTGGAATTTGATTTTTAAGTGTTAGGGAATTTAATAGTGTGTTTATACTACATGCTGCCGTAGTTTGATAGATAACAGAAGTATTATCTTGTCTCATTCAGAGACTTGGTGGCTTTTAAGTCACTTTCCCTCATCCTCAGCCAAAAACACAATACCAGTGACAACTGCAACAAACAATGACCTGGAAGATGGCCAGATCTAATTCTATTTCTGTAAAGCAGAGACCTACTACAGCCTGAAGTTTTCAGTATCAATTTCCACAATAAATTGTTGGCTTTAGTAAGCAAGAAGTTTCTACGTGTCCTACATTTCAGTTAACATACAAGCAAAATATCCAGTAGAACTTATTCCTAACTCCCCATGGTGGAAAATTTAACTGCTGTTTCATAGCAAAGCAGTGCAGAGATTCAGTTATATATAAGCAGTCTCTGGAATACCAAAACATGTCATTTTAAAAGGTTAAGTAGAAAACATCTGGAACTAACTGATGGCTCTGACATAGTTAACAGACTGTGAAAAAGCGAAGAAGAACTGATGGAAACAACATGGTTTGCTCTAACAGTGCGCTACAAATGCGCTTCTATTAAAAAAGGGCTGCACCTTAGCCTTATTGTAACAATAACAACTACTTGGCCAGACAATTCCATTTTTTTTGGAAGTAATTTTGTCAAAGAAAATATTCTTGAGGGTTTTGGTACTGAAAAAAAGGACCTACTAGAAGAAATCTTTTAATGGACTTCAGTTTTGCATTGGACAAGTCTGAACTCCA